GCTCAGCATGCACCTCTGGGTCATGCTACATGCACATGACAAACATGGTCATGCAGACATGCCATGAAATAGCAGCTGCAAGACAAAGAAAAGCTGCTTACATGATGAGTCCAAGCATGCTCCTTAGGATCATGCTATATGCACATGACAAACATGGTCATGCAAACATGCCATGAAATAGCAGCTGCAAAACAAACAAAAGCTGCTTAACAACTGCATGGAATATTTCCAGAGTTGCACTGCAGGGCATGTCTTTATCTTCCTTGCTCAGCACCCTGGTGCTTCTTCCTGCATAAGTTGAAGTTGCTTTTCCACATGATGTTTAGCCAGGAAATGAAGGATTCAAAATTTCATATTGCCCGCCTTTTTTATACAACAACCTTAAAATCCAAAAGCACAGAGCCATTCCCATGTCATCGGCCACTGGCCACGGCAACATTTTCATCTCATAAATCCTGTTTTCGTCGTTCAAAAGCACACATGAAAGCATGCACATGTCACGGAGAATCTTATGTTATACACTACTTCTGTGTTACTACTTAACTAGTTAGCTAATTTTTATAACTGCCATTTCTAATCATCTTAACTCACCTAACTCCTTAGCTAACCCACAGCCCATCAAAGTATAGGGCGCTGAGGGCGCTGAGGGCGCGGAGGGCGCGGAGGGCGCTGAGGGCGCTAAGGGCGCGGAGGGCGCTGAGGGCGCTGAGGGCGCGGAGGGCGCTGAGGGCGCGGAGCGCGCTGAGGGCGCTGAGGGCGGTGAGGGCGCTGATGAGGGCGCTGATGAGGGCGCGGAGGGCGCGGAGGGTGCGGAGGGCGCTGTGAAGGCGCGGAGGGCGCTGAGCGTGAGGGCGCTGAGGGCGCGGAGGGCGCTGAGGGCGCTTAGGGCGCTGGGGCGCTGAGGGCGCGGAGGGCGCGGAGGGCGCTGAGGGCGCTGAAGGCGCGGAGGGCGCGGGGGGCGCTGAGGGCGCGGAGGGCGCGGCGCGGAGGGCGCGGAAGGCTGAGGCCGCGGAGGGCGCTGAGGGCGCGGAGGGCGCTGAGGGCGCGGAGGGCGCGGATGGTGCTGAGGGCGCTGAGGGTGCGCAGCGCGCTGAGGGCGGCGCTGAGGGCGGAGGGCGCAGAGGGCGCTGAGGGCGCTGAGGGCGCGGAGGGCGCTGAGGGCGCGGAGCGCGCTGAGGGCGCTGAGGGCGCTGCGCGGAGGGCGCGGAGGGCGTTGAGGGCGCTGAGGGTGCTGAGGGCGCGGAGGGCGCGGAGGGCGCTGAGCGGAGGGCGCTGAGGGCGCTGAGGGCGCGGAGCGCGCTGAGGGCGCTGAGGGCGCTGAGGCGCGAGGGCGCTGAGGGCGCGGAGGGCCCTGAGATCTGCGAGGGCGCATGCAGTATCCATGGCCCATCCATTTAGAATGCATGACGCACACGCTCTGATGCGCATGGTTTATAATCATAGCATGCGTTCACAGCATGCATGACCCAGCCTCACATTGACGTGCATGTTTGATGTGTTGTGAGTTCACAGCATCCATGGCCCAATCATATAATGGCGTGCATGGTTTATAATGCGTATAGATTAAAGCTATTGCATGATCTGTGCTCTGGTTACTAAGTAACTAATGAAGTCCAGTAACATGAACTATGAGTTAGGTAACCACACCTCCAAATGCTTTCAATGGACCATAGTCCGACGATGTTTTGTTGTTGATATATAACTGCTTCAACATTAGTGCACTTAAATTATAATTGCGATAACCAGATCATGGATTTATGTTGTACTTGAGGTGCTTATCAATCAACCTTAGTTGTGATCGACGTCGTGTTGAGTTGTAATTCAGTTATAAGTAGGGTGCTAAGTGGGAGATAGGTCCAGCGACGTGGCCTCCGAGTAAGTAGGCTAAGTGGGTTACCGGCTAAGTCCGCTAAGTGGGTTCCGCTGCGTCATGGCTATAAGTCCGATAAGTAGGATCAGCGCGCTGTTCTGGAGCCCACTCAAGCTACTTAGCCTACTTACGGATATGGATTTATCTTCACTTACTTATGTAAGTGCACTTAACCTACTGACGTGTGTGCCCTTCTCCTTCTTATGTAAGTCCTGTAAGTCCTACTTACCCTACTTATGTATGAGTGCAACCCTAAGTGACTCATACCACATATTTACATCCACCCGATATATCCCACTTAATAACCCCACAATAAGTTGACCTTAACTCACGCAGCCCGTGCTCTGGTAAGTCAGTTGGTCTTCACCTTTATAAGTCCAACATAAGTCCATCATCCACTTAGTAAGCCCACCAACCACTTATAAGCAAAGCGATCCTATATATTAGACCGGTAAGTATTCACTGCATCTATTTTGCCCACATGTATGCACATGTGTATGCTTTATAATTCGAGGTCACCATAGTAAGAACGACGTGCATTCTGAGTTCCATCGCGCATCTCAACTACTAGTACAGTGAAGCCACATGTAAAGTAGCGTCGCTGCTGCATGTAAGGGCTCAGCGCCCACTTCTTGAAACAATACTTGGGGCTTGAAAACGTAGCTGTCGAAGTGGCGTCCCAGAATGAGCTTGTGAAGTCCTGATAAGTCAAAACCGATTCTGCAATTTTGGTTCCGCGAAGTTTGCTGGCCCTGCCAACATTTTTTGCGCGTCGCATCTCAGAACTCTTGAATTTAGTGATGCTGATCTCTTCACAGATGCAACCTACCTTGAGCCATGTCCCCCAGCGTCTGCTCGCACGTAGTTGTTTTTTGGCGTGGGCGGGTCTCAACGACTGCGGCAGCAGCACTCGGTCCCTACAGGAAGCCTAGCAAACGAAGAAAACTACCCCAAAAATATGAAACAAGCTGCGACCTGCAGGCTTTGCCGGCAGGAGTCGTTCAGCTTCGGTTCCTGCCAAAATCCTGAAGGGTTTTGGACCACGGCCTGCATGGCTTTCCACGGATTTGGGACCGCGACCAGAATGCTTTCTCCCACGTACTGGCGCGTCCAAACATATTTTCGCCCAAGTACTGGTGGGATTCAGAAGCACGGCGCTTTGCCTCCCCACGTGTTTTTTTATTATATTAGCTGGATTCAGAAGGCCACGCTCAAAGGTTTGGAAGGTGGCAACTTTGGGATTTATATAAGAAAACACTATTGCGTCAAATGGACGCCAAGCGTCCAAGGCACGGGCGCAGCCCCCCCCATTTGCAGAGACAACGTTCACATGATGGGCTTCGAAAACACTCTTTGAATCAAGCTTGCACGTCTCGAAAAGCGCGGTGGCGGGTGTTTTGTTCTTCCGTGCCTGTTCGTGTCTCTTCTTCCGTTAGCATTCTAACCTAATATATATATATATATATGTATATATATATATATAACATAGTAAACCAGAAGAACGACATAAGATGGTTCGACAACACAAAAATGGTGTGACATTTTCTGACATAACAGAACCTTGCTTCTTATAGCATATAATAGCATGTTACTAAAAATGCAACAATACAATATAACAGAAGATGACATAGAACAAAACAACATCTTAGTTTATAGTGTAGTACATTGTAACATAGTACAATACAGTGTGTATATTTACAACATAATATGTAGTATATTTATTTTATAACATTAGGTTACATTATGTTATATTATGTTACGGTACATTACGATATTATGGTAAATTCGTTTGGACTATGTAGTATCCTGTTGCTTGTATCTTTGTTTCTGTGATTCTTTCATATTCTTTCTCTTTCGTCTTTTCCAACTTTGCTTTTTTATTCTGGACTTATTTCTTTGTTTCGCTCGCTCATTTCTTTTTTTTCTTTCTGTTGTTCTTTCTTTGTTCATCTCAAACTGGTTTGATTTATTTCGTTCTTTCTTTGGCTCGTTCTTTCTTTCGTTCTTGCTTTCGTTCTTTCTTTCGTTTTTGCTTTCGTTCTTTCGTTCTCTCTCTCGTTCTATCTTTCTTTCTTTATGTTTTCCTTTCTTTCGTCCTCTTTAGATTTACTTAGTTCTCTATTTTTGCTTTCTTTCTTTACTTGTAGCTTTCTTTATTTACTTATTTCTCTATTTCTTGCATGGCTTTCGTTCTTTCTTTGTTTCTTTCTTTCTTTTGTTCTTTATTTCTTTCGTTGTTTTTTATTTTTTTATTTAGTTCTTTCTTTCGTTCTTTCTTTCTTTCTTCCTTGCTTTCTTTCTTCCTTTCTTTCTTTCGTTCTTTCTTTCCTTCTTTCTCTCCTTCTCTCTCTCTCTCTCTCTGTCTTTCTTTCCTGCCTTTTTCCCCTTCCTTTCGCAGATACCCGTTTAATTTTTTTGATCCTTATTTAATTTTTTTTGATCCTTATTTAATTTTTCTGATCCTTATTTAATTTTTTTAACCCCTATCCCCTTGTTTGTGTTTTGCATCAAGCTATTGGGGAACTACAATTTGCAGAGTCTTTTATTGTTTGTGTTTTTCATCAAGCTAATGGGGAACTAACATTCGCAGGGTCTGGTTTTGCTTGTGTATTGCATGAAGGTATTGGAGCACTACAATTTGCAGGGTCGTGTTTCGCGTGTGAATAGTGCGAAATGCCAATTTCAAATCTTCTGTCTTCTGGCGTTGCGGACCAGGGACCAGGGGACCGGAGGACCAAAGGACCAGGGGACCAGGACCAGAGGACCAAAGGGCCAGGGGACCAAGGGACCATGGGACCAGACCTAGCAAGGCCCCCCAAACCAGGCCAGACCTAGGAAAAAAAAAAACAGTGGACCCGTCCATAAGGCTAAGGCCATAAAGTATACAATAACGAAGCTCGGACGATGGTACATTCTCGGTTGACACATGCATCGGACCAACTGTTTGTCCCTGCTTTGACACGAACGAACTCAGAAAACAGTTGCGCGTTAGTTATAGAATGCAACAGGACGGGGATTGGTCCGAGTGAGGTGGATACTCTCTCCATATATATATATATATATATCTCCCTCTCTCTCTCTCACGAGAATTTCTCTAAACTTTGCTGCCAGGCAAGTGGATGGCCACGGCCTGACTTCGCCCATCGTTGCTGGAGCCAATGTCGAACTCAAACTGGACTCCGATCAAATTGGCTTCCTGTCCACATCCGCAGCGATACCAGCTATATACCACTGTCAGAGAACGAGGTGCACTCTGCGCAGTAGCAGTTGTCCTGCATGCCCGCTGGCAAATCTCGCTTGGCGAAGAAGATGTCAGCTGCAGGGCACATGCACTGAATTACCCCGACAGACCAGTGGGAGTCTGAAAATGCCTTCACAAAGGGGAGGGACATCGACAGTCAGAATGACTCCAGCAATCGGTTCTGCTGCGCTGAGCGATGAAAACTTCGAATCAGAGTGTTGCCAAAGCCCTTTGGGGGAAATTCCTTTGAGGTTTGCACGGGTGTGCTCCAGTGACTCGTCTAGGTCGGATGCACGCTGCCAGATGCTGCTAGACTACTAGATGCCATGTCTATCCGCGTGCCTCCATTGGTACTGACGCTCATGAAGCCTCTGAACAGCAGGAGGCAAGCACGATCAATTGGTAGGAATCTGCCTGCTGTCACGAAGCTTTCACACCATCATGCAAGGCAGCGAGATATAGCGAGATCAGGAGCTATTCAGCTGAAAAATGGCATCAGTTCTGTGCCGGAAGCTCAGAAAGGTCAAATTAGGTTACTGCCGAGCAGCCGTATCCACCCTTGCCAGAGAAGCCTCTCAGCTGCATCACAAAGATTTGCGCTGGGTTTGCAACACAACAATTTAGGGACCCAAGAAGGACATAAGCATAAGCATGTCATAGGGATATCCCAGCCTGTTTGGGCTTCATTGTATATGGGATCTCCCCACCCTTATTTTTGCTTATGTGCCGTTTGGGGGCCCTAAAAATGGCTCCGTCGCGAGTTCTCGGACCACCAACCCCGAACGGTCGCGGTTACCTTTTTTGTTTCGTTCTTGGTCCAGGCACTTTTGCGTTTAACGGCTCAGCTCTGCAACTCAGGCTGGCTCGCGATGCCGGCTGTATTCACAATCAGGAGCAGCCCATGAAGGTGTAACGGCAAGGACCAACAAAGTGCATGTGTGCACCTAAGCAAACTTTATGGGTATGCACATAGAGGTCTTGATGTTTCTGTATAGATACATACACATAGAAAACAGGATGAACAGGCACATAAAATATCCGCCGACCCCTGGTCGGGTCGGCGTTAGGAGGGGCTCTTCCTCTTCCCCGCCCCCCGTCGCCGCCCCCTGTCCCCAACCACACGCAGAGGATAAAATTTCGTGTTCTATATTGCTGTCCCTTAGTCTTGCCTTCGCGGGGGGGGATCGGTTTTGGGATTGCCAGTACCAAGACCAAAGGCGACAGTTTAGCCGGTCACTCATTTTCATGTAGACAGAGCGAGAGAGAGAGAGAGAGAGAGAGAGAGAGAGAGAGAGAGAAACAGAGAGAGAGAGAGAGAAACAGAGAGAGGAGAGAGAGCGAGAGAGAGAGAGAGAGAGTGAGCGAGGGAGGGAGGGAGGGAGGGGGAGAGAGAGAGAGAGGGAGAGAGCTAGAGTGAAAGATCACATACTAGCCGGGAGATGACATGTGGAGACATGCTGCCGCATTCATTCCAAGAAGCTTTTCACCTGACCAATGCATCGCGTTCCCAAGCCTGCCAACTTCAGCTTGAGTGTCACAACCGACCACTTTCCGACGCTGCATCATGATTACTAACAGCGCAGAGCCATTACTGTGAATCTTGAAGCAACGTGTTCAAATTACCCATCGCCGAAATCCATCCTAGAACACCCGGATGTCACCACAGACACTTAGTAGCTCCGAATGCAAGAACCCACAAGGCCTTCGATTGCCGGGCCCGACGGGGTTGGGATGGTCTGGGCTGCACCGCCCACAAACTGCAAGCTCCTGGCCTGCGCAGGTCAAATAAAACCCCCACCTACCTACCGACTTACATGTTTGCTTACCTGCCTGCCTACCTACCTACCTACCTGCCTACGTGCCTGCCGACCGACTGACCGACATGCACACACATGCAAAGGTACCTATTACATCTCTCCTCACATGACTACAAAATTCGGTTTCATGCATTTGCTTCTGGATAGAGAGAGCATGAATCTGTGCACATCGTAGGCTTGACGACAACGCGCAAGAACAATCGTGCACTGCAGCTCTTCTCGCGTTTACCATCCACGTGTGTCAAATGGACATGCGGCCGAAACATGGTCATGTAAAGCGGCTCGTGCCTGCGGCCGACCATCTGCCGCGGAACTGACATCGTAGGCAAAGGTTATGCCGTTCAGCGCACTCTCGCCTCAAGATCTCAAGATTTGGCATCAGCCCAAATCTACGTGGAAAAAGGATGGCCGCGACAGTATTTTATCAGCAACCTCTATACTTCCTGGCGAGAATTCACCTGCTGAGGCCTTCACAAACACTTCTGGGCGATCTGCTAACGCTGCTGGACTGATGGGGCATAAACAGCTTAGAGTAAGGTCCTCGCTTTGGAATTCAGGTGGCAGCTCTCTTCGAGGGAAGAATGTATCCTGCGTGGAACATGAAACCAAACCTCATACCCAAAACTTTCCAGCACTTCACTCATCAAAGCGGCACCACAACAAAGAGTCTAGAATCTCCAGAGGACGTTGAGAGAATTCGAGGCAAGTGAGCTCAGCTCCTTCTCGTGACCCTCCGTGCGTAGGAACCCGAAACCTCTGTCAGGATTCCTCGGCTTAAACAGGTTGCCCTTGCCTTAGGTTAGTAGGGAATGGAAGAACTGTAGTAATAGTAGTGATAATTGTACCCCATTCCTCCATTCCCTACTAACCAAAGGTAAGTTGCATGAATCATGCTGACCAACACATCTATAAAGCACCAACCGTAACCGTTGAGGAATGACGACTTGCACACACAGGCGACTCGCTCGGCCATGTTCTGACTCGATCATAACATTCTGGCATATTCTGGCTTAGTCCAGGCTGGCATCCAGTTCTTCACAACACCGACTCGCCGCTCACCTGTGCCTGAGGTAGATGGGGCGATCTGCACCGATTTGCAGAGGATCATAGATAACAGTCAGGCAGACACAACATGACGCGACATGAAGGATTCAATGGTCAATCTGTGTGAGGAGGTCACAGGCAGAAAGCTGCAACACTTGCAGGCGAAGACTGCTAAGATCGAGACAGCCTCCACCACATCCTCCGCAGCCACTTCCGCAACCAGCACAGCTGCCGTAACTGCTGCAGCCACATCCTCCACAGCCGCATCCACCATAGCAGTTGCCACACCCGCAGCCGCCCCCTCCCAATCCGGAATTGCAGTTGCAACCGTAGTTACAGCCTCCGCAGCCGAAGTTGCCACACCCTCCACCCCCACAACCACATCCACCCCCGCAGCCACAGCCGGAACAGCCACAGCCACAGCCAGCGTTGCATCCACAACCGCAGCCACCGCAGCCACTGCAGCCACAGCCGCCGCAGCCACAGCCGCAGCCTGCAACGCAAAAAGGGTACTTTGAAGATGTTTCTTGGGCTTTCCTTTGGCGTTTCGCAAGTTGCCGTCTCACGAAGCAGAGGAATGCGAGCATGTTTCGGAAATGAGTCCGCGTTGAAGTTGGGCTTCCGCCCACACCCGGGTATATCAGTCTTGGTTCTTGACATGACAATCCCTGGCACGGCAGTCTCTGCAAGAGTCGGAAGACATCTTCTCGTCTATGTTGCGCATTAGGTCGACTTTACAGCCAATTTGCACAGTGTCTACTGCCCATGGCTTGGCCCCAGCTTCTAAGTTCTGCCTCTTGAACCGGCCCGCTGTGACTTTCAACAAGTTGTTGCCCAGGTTGTGTTGATGCATGGCTACCTGGCCGTTTCGACCTCTCCCGTCCTTTCACCAAAACACACATGCCTTTTCGCGCTGCATACGATGAAGAAGCGAGGCAACGAGTGGCACTGTTTGATTCCTTTTGAACTTATGACCCTGCGAACTGAAAATCCTCGGAAATGGAGCATGCCAGTTTGCTTGCCGATTGTATGTTACCTGCAACACTGTAGAATCGCTGACCGCCAGAATTGCAATTCAAGAGTCCGGCAGTAGTCCAGCCTCCCGGATTTGAGCCACAGCCACAACCGCAACAGGCGCCGCAACCGCATCCGTCACAGCCACAACCACACCCTTGGCATCCTTGGCCGCAGCCGCACCCACCGCATCCAAAGCAGTTGCCATTGCAGCCGCTGTTGAATCCGCAACCACCGCAACCACAGCCACCTGCAAGGACATCATCAAGAATCCGAAGCCTTGCAAAAGACTACTCACTACTTCATGGCATGAAACAAATACAGAGCATGCCCGTGTATGCAATCAATCACGTCAAAATCCATGGCTTGGTCGCTGTTGCTGCTGCTGCCGTTGCTGTATATACATAGAGAACTTTTTTGCGGAGATGGCGACGACAAGGATTGCTACGACGATTGTGGTGATGACGACGATAGTGACGATGAGGATCATCATAACGAATACTACGATGATGAGAGCCGGCTCGTCCTATCTCGCAGACTCGTAGCTCCTACTCGGCTCTCTGTGGCTGGTGCCTTCGTTCATCAATGTGCGTATACGTTCGTCACCCCCTCAGTTGCTGATCTTCCGGCCGGTCCTGCATCGCAGCCGCATCCGCCGCCACATCCACATCCACAGCCGGCAAAACCTGCGAAGAAGCTTGGCAATGTGTTTCTAACAGCACCTCACATGGTCCCGAACAACTTCAACGCATTCTGGCCTACTCGGCTGGGAAGCTACAGCTGCCCTCTCTCTTGCTCTGAAAGCTTCTAGACTCTAGACTATCCGGAGCGCCTCCTGCGTCGTAGCCACAGCCTGCCAACAAACCAATCGCAGGGTGGGAAGCAACATCGCGAACCGTGACATGCCCTTTCCGGTGCAGGTCCGTCCTGCACCAAAGTCACCATAGGCAGAGCCAGCCACCAACGAGTCAGCGGGATCACTGATTAGGCCGCCTGCACTGTGGCAGCAAAGCGGATCTTTGCCAATAAAGCCCGAAGGTACAGTTGCATGTGCCCTAGAACCAGATCGATTGACGACGGTTCGAACGACAGCGAGGCACATGGGCATCACTGGTGCAATGTGCTATCGAATGCTTGCCGGACACCAGACGATGCCTTGCATGGAATCCATGGTGGCCTGATCGCGCAGCTCGGCTTCGATTTTGAGGTACAAATTTATGTTTTTCACTTCTGGTGGCTTGTCTGAGGCCGGCGCCAGGGAGCTGAAGTCAAGGTGAGGACGAGGCGGAGCGAAACGTCGAGGCTGTGTTTGCCAGTTCGAGGGACTGCAAAGAGCTGTAAAGTTGGGTGGGCTGAGAACTTGTGGCGACTAGTTTGTGCTGTGCTCCGCCTTGGCAGGCATGCATCAGGGCTATCTTGATATGCTGCTATGTTGGATTCTTGACGACACCTGTACATCCCGAAGTCAGACGCTACAGCCGAAGTTCGGCCAAGCGTGGTACTCAGTGCTATCGTGTGCTGTCTTATCTGCTGCCGAGACCAGGCTTCAGCCAGGAAGGTGGCAGCCGATCACAACAACGGGATGCACATAAGCCAAGGTGCGAGAAGCTTACGACAGCTATCGAGTCTGCCCACAACAAGACCCCCCCTGGCTCCCAAACAACCTGCAGAGATCATGCCCCGATGCCCTATGCAACTGCTGCTCGGAAGGTCACTCCTTCAGGACACCTGCAGCATTGAGGGCCTCGGCATCGTCGACGACAAAGGCTTGCATGCTCTCTGCTCAAAACAAGAACCCAACCCACAACAGGCCATGACATCGATGCCGGCAAGTCTTTGGTTCTTGCAGTGAACATCAGCCAAGAAGCACCGATGGCCAAGAGCACACCGGTGAAGAAGAGAAGACCCGTCAGATCGACCTGAAAAGCTTGTCCAAATCAATAAGCACTGAGAGTCTGCTAGCCGCCCACCCCCCAAACGCAGGAAGCATGTCTTCCAGCTGGCCTTGCGAAGCGCACTGACGACTCCGTACTGGGGCGGTCCCCCGTGGTCATCTGACCGGGCAGGCAAGGGCTTCATCACGGGATGTCCGACAAAGTTGAGCTTCGGTCCCTGTAATTGCCAGTCCTCTCGCTGCCCACTTGACTGTTCCATCTGACCGCAGCCCCGCAGTCCCTGCGGCCTTCTTCTGCATCTCCATTCATCATGTGGCCCTGTAAGGGAGCCAAAGACTGGGCTGGATCTGCTCCGGGACTACATGTTTAAATGGATGCCAGAAAACAACCTGCAGCTCGACACATTGATCTCTGGGCACCAGGCCCTGAAGTGCATCACGTCCGTCAGAAGCCACATGAGGCCCAAAGCAAGAAGCATCCCCAAGTACCTCGATTCCGGAGCGAATGACCTCTTCACGGTTGCTAAACAGCAGCATGACCGACATGCATATGTCAATGTGAGAACCTGAAGTGTTGGTGTCTAACGAGAAACTGCAGGCAGGGTGGCATGGGCAATTCTGCACTGCACGATCGCGAGTCAGCATCTGAGTCACCCGCGGCGGTAAGCCGCAGCCAATCTTCAGGCCGGGTACCTCTCTCGTTTCTTACAGCCAAAGCCTCACCAAAAAGGACCACATGCAGAAGCAACATACTGCAGGGCAAACCCCCACAGTCAGTTGATCGCATACGACAGACCTTGGCTTGACACTGGTGCACGGCCCTGCGCCCTGAACTCTCAAGGACTGTCGGGACTACACTAAAAAAAGGCCCTAAAGCTGGAAACGGAAGGACGTGCAGCCATGTCCACACCATTCCCGACGGAAGTCAGACAGTCAGGCACACCATGAGGATGCAAAGCACGCCGAAAATCAAAGCGATCACCTGCAAGCCCACTGCGGAAGGGACACAAAACACTACGAGTCAACAGTCCCTAGAGGTGTCCGCCTTACAAGCCCTCCGTTCAGTATGACCTTGGTCATTGTCATGGTGATTCCTCTCCACAATATAATTAAGCTTGCGCTACGATCAAATTTCGCCATCGCATCATGACAAGCAACGCTTGCTGGTAGTGAGCTGCTAGGGCTGTCTCAACAACGGCCGGGTCAGCAACATGTTGCACATGAAAGCGCTGAGGCTTGCAATTCCGAAGCCGAAAACCCAACCATCGCCGTGTCGCTTGGGTCCGAGACATGCAGTCACCCTAGCCTTCTGTCTGGTGATTTGCTCGGTGTCGTCCTCGCCAGAGCACTTCTCTGCAGATCCACGGAAGCAGTTTGAATCTAATAGCAGCCCCGTTCTCAACTCCAGGGCCGTTCTGTTGACCGAATCCCTCTAGAAGCCCCCTCCTCGTCCAAGCCTTCCTCTTTCAGAGGCTCCTGGCAAATCTCTCCGTGAGCGCTGTTGGGCACGTGGTCTTTCAGAGGCCAGCTGTCTGTCCGTATCTGGTCTGTGTGTGTGTGTGTGTCTGGTTTGTCTGTACATGCGAGATACAGGAATTCCATAGTTTTGGTTTTCTTCTGTGCAGCGTGGACCCGGCAGGATATCGGCCAATGAGCTTGCGATTGAGAGATGGTTCTGTCGCGAAGCACACCGACAAGTCCTGCCCCGACTACGGAAGACGACACAGAAAGCCGTACAACTTTTGGGAAGAGTGCAAAAAACGCAGCTGAATTTCAACCCCGAAGGCCCGGAAGTCCGAGCCTTAAAGCCGGAGTTGCTGAAGTGCATAGACGGATCGATTGGCATCTAATGGCTTGAATTTCACACGTATTCTCGCCATTTCGGAGCGAAGCTACCCGAAGCTCGTACCTCATCCATGTCCATCCAATTCCGTGGTGCTAAGTTTCAATACGAGGTCATCTATTAATCTACAATCAAGGTCCTGCTCCCATCCTGGACCTTTCTTTCGGTCCTGGCAAGGATGCGCTTGTAGTCCGCATGACATGAGTTCACATGCCTGCAGGCCGGTGCGATAGTCGTCGAAACCGATGGCAAAGTGCGGCACTTTCAGCATCTTTGGGCTTGAAACAAGACGAAAGGCTTGGACTTGGAGCTTGAGGCATGAATCTCGACAAAGTGTCCTTGATGCGGTGCTCTGCTGGCCCAGGTGCTTGCAAAAGGCGACGAGCCTGGCACCTAACGCTTCGCGGACTAGGAACTGCTTCTGTGTCCGCGGTGCTGTCGCAGCACGGTCGGACCTGAGGCCCCACAGCGGCAGCACGCCTGCCGCAAACGACCTCAAAGACTCGCTGACATCAACTCCGGCCCTATCCGTCTTACCCAACCAACGGAAACCTCTGTCGCGAAAACTCCTTACTCGACCTCACGTCACGTCAGAGGTCAGACATGCGGCACAGGCCAAGCCCACCACGGAAAAAACAGCCACAGCACAGTATTCGTAGCCGTGATCTTCTCCCTGCAGTCCAGCTTACCCGCTGTCACACATTCGAAGCAAGTGATGTTCCACGGTCACAGTCGATGCAACAGCTTGGCGCGGGGCTGAATCCAAAGCATGGTAGTGGTCACATCACCGATGGGTGACCAGGCACCTGTGAACGCATTGCCGGACTCCGCTTTCAGTGTGCCATGTGGCCAGTCGCCTCCGGCATTCGCTGCTATGACAGCAAGGCCGCCGCACAGGCGGCGATATTCCTGCCACTCACAGTCTTCAAACTACCAAGTTGCGAGGTTTGCTACACTTGCCTCATCTTCGGAGGCAAGCCGCCGCAGAATTTTCACAGCCACGATGGTGGAGGTGAGATTATCGATGACCTCGCCAGGGGTACATCTCGTAAAATCTCTCAAACACTGCTGATGCACTGGGCCTGCTAAAGTCAAGACACTCTCTCAGTTCTGTACAGGTAGGATGCAAACCGCCAACAGCGCCCGAGTGATCCCTCGTAAAGCCGCAAGCAAGTGACGGAGCTGAGAAAGAACGTAAGGATGCAGATAATCGGCATCAGACGGTCCTCGCAAAGGAACAAACGGCTGTCCGAGTGATGAGCACACCTCGTGGGGCCTAGGCCAACAGCTTTGGTCAGTCCTTCCTTCCTTCGATGGCTCGCTTGATAGCCTTCACCAGCGGCTCTGCAAAGGCACAAGGCACACACTCTTTGGCACATGATATGTTTGTGAAGGTTTGTTTATACGACGCTGAACGGGTGCAGAGCTCTTGCTACAACCCTGTAGGGACTGGAACCATTCCTGCCAAAGAGCCGCTCCACAAGATCACAAATAAATGACAAAGAATGCGCCAGGCTGCTAGGCGAAGACTTTGCCATTGCGGCCAAGGCACCATATTAGCCAAAGCGAAACCGTCGAAGTGATCGATGGACTCGACGACACCTCTGTCGAACATAGACCAGATCACCAGGGTAAAAACTGCTCTCGATAGCAGCTAGCACGTCACACCAACAGAAGCGATGAGCCGGCAGCAAAACGCACACTCATCACTCATCACTTCATGTACTCCGTTTCCTGTCCGAATCTTTGCAACCGGCCCATTGCTGGCAAAAGGAAGAGGAGCACGCTGCCCACATCCTGGTGGAAAGGTCGCCGCAGTACATGGCAAACGGGAAAGCTGCGAGCTGCGGAATTCTGTGCATCTTCCGGATGCCTCTAAGCCACGGTTGAGCTCCTCGTGGAGCTGCATGTACCCTGCCTGCACACCGGAAGCTCTTTGGAGCTTGAGTGCAACGCTGCAATACATCAAGATATGTCTGCAGACCAAGCTCCTTCGAGTTGTTGGGGTGGTAGCCGACAGCCAGGAAAGTCCACATGACCGCGGCCTAGGAATCGATATGCTCCTCCGATTTCTGCGCACCCAAGCAGCGGTGGTGCTCCGAGAAGTCGCATAAGAGCACGGCTAAGACCATCATCATAGCTGATTTGTTGATGCCAACGACATCCTGGCCATGAGGCGACCACATGATGCATCGGTTACATCGAGTCAAGCTGTCAAGCTAGGCACTATCTATGCCTACCACGCACTTGATGTCGCGTCGGCACCGCAATGTGCAGATACGTGTTAACAGCTCGTCAGGGAAAATCTAGCAAAGCAGGACGAAACATGCAATTAAGCCCCGACATCTTCATCCGTATCGTAGTCATAATCATACGGCAGGCACCACGGATCAGCCACGACACGTCTGGGCTAAACTCAACATCACTTCGTGCACATCTCGGAAAACCCTGACTGTCTTCCACAGCGACGATGAAGAGCCCTGCTGCGAAGAGGACAGACATTACCTGCACCTCAGAGCTCCAGGCCCAGGTTTCCCAAACATTCTCACATTGGACTGTGGATTGAGGCGCATACTCTGGCATCCGGGCTCTCGATGACCCAGGGCGGCCTTCAAGAAGCGACAGAATCCCCGCAAGACGGAGACCACGTTGCTGAGGCTGGCACCAGTTCATGATGGCAATGATGAGGACTACAATCTCAGCCAAGCTTCGATCTTCCATCCGAAGACTTGAGCTCATCTGATATGTCGCTGCGAGTTTGATGCCATGCTAAGGTTTCGACCATGACCCCGATGCCCAGAAGTTTCACCAGCCCACGCGCCTCTGTTGAGAGGACACCAGGAGGTGCAATAGTGCTGCGCTCATCCCATAGAGCCATTCAAGACAAACACAAAAGCGGTTTCAAAGTACTTCTGCACCCAGTCGCCGTAGACGCTGCGCGGTTCAGCATCCTCGTGGTTTGCCTTGACATTCAGATGGTGACGTCGGAGCACGATTGGCAAAGTTAAAACCAGTTGCGTCCATCGACAGGGGCCCCGGCTCCCCGACAGTCGGCGAAAATTCGACCTCGCGCGCTTGACCTTTGGGCGCGGTCTGCGGCTCTGACCCCAAGACCCTGAAGGTGCCCATTCCTCGCCTCCAAGTGGAAGTCGAGGAAGTTGCTCTCGCGCCTGTAGACGTGTTCCGAGCTTAACAGAGTGTGAAAAATCAACGGATGAACCAGAGATTGAATACTTGCAAGCTTTGCCTCAACGCCACTTCTGCTGGGGGTCGCAGGCCTGGTGTTTGCTCACATACTCGTCCCCCTGTTCCCAAGATAGCGTACCCAACTGATCGTGGTTCAACAGACTGTAATGGTATGCTGCCCAGCCTGCTGTCATTCAGTTCCAAATCTTCGAGCCCCATGCCGATGGCCTTCGCGAAGGCAAGAGAAGAGAACAGCGAGTGATAAGCACTGTGACGCAGTGACGCATACATCTGTACTTACATCAATGAATGTAACGTTTGCATCCTGTGCATCCATGTGTGCGTGTCTCTTGGGGGCTTTTGTCCATGGCCGTCTGCTCTTGTGGCATGATACGGCCCTTCATAAAGAACTGGTGCACTCAACAAGACGAGCGCGTGTGTACGTACATGTTTGCGTACAAACCACCAGTTAGACAAACATGTACAAACACATAACACAGCTGCACACCTACAGACATAAACAGCGTGCAAGAAACCATGTTCGGTTTCTGCATGTTTCTAGTGTGCAACTCTAGAAACCCGAGAGGTCAATCCATTTGCGGCGCACTGCCAGTACCAGTACATTCGATCCTCGTCGCAGTACGATTTATCGAAATCCCTTGAAAGGCGACAGACATGCGAAGCCCAACGACATCATCCTGGAAATGTGGATGCAAGCACACCTGACTGACGTAGGGATAAGGCTGGCAGAGCTGGGACTGCTGCGAACTGAACCAGAAAGAACTGAACACCCCTTCGAAAGCTTACCGCCCCGAAGAGTGTCAGTTCGGCCCACTTTTTCAGGATTCACTTCCGCTTATGCTCGGTAGGCCAAGGACCTTCGGCTCCATTGACGGCAGCTCAACCTCGTTCGCCTCAAAGTCTTGCTGGCTCGATCGTGCCATGGGGCATGTTGGTTGGAGGCATTGAACCATTATCTTTCGATGAACTTGTCCAGCCCTCGCAGTCTCTCACAGATCGAGGCTTGGACCTTCATGTCAAACGTGGACCTCGTGCCGCAAGGGTGCAGGTAACAGCCCAACGGTAGGTTAGCATGGCTTACTTCTCGCTTTCCTGTTGTCAGCGTCTTGCAGACTACTTTGGCTTTGGCATGCCTTGCGAATGGCCGGCGGACCACTCTTGGGCTCGAGCATCGGCTCGATCGCCAAGGCCTTTTCAATCATTCTGACTCTGCTGCACCCCGGCAGTCTGATGTGTGGTGCAATGATATCCTGAAAGTCAAAACCTAGAGCTGGTACCCAGTGCGGCGCAAGTCTCAGACTCTCGAAGACGAGCGCAGAGTTTTGCAATCTGAGCTTCCCTGCCAAACGAGCCCGGCTTCGCTGTTCACGTGGGCATGGCAGGTCAGAGCTTCGGCGTATCCGTATCTGTTGCTTGTCATCGACATCCGATCTGAGCACTTCATGTGTGAGGCTTAGCTTGAGCCTCTGAAACGTTATAAGCAAGCGGCCTAGCTGGCGCTGGTTGGCTGCTTTCTCAGATTGCCGCGTTCATGGCGGTTCGTGGTTATTTGGCACTGCTTCCATGAGCCTACACAGGCAAATCAATCAGAAAGCTTGGCTCAACTCGTCGAGGTCAAGCACCTCAGGGCGATAGCCCCCTAAGGACTCCTGTGCACCACGCAGGATCTTTTCTCATGTGCGCTCTCCCGTGCGTGAATGGCCTGCAAAGACAGGGACGTGAGAACACTCCGCCAGTAGAATCGTGCAGTTTCTTGAAAGACAGGGCGCCTGGTTTCGAGCCCTCTGCAGTGCACCTCGAACAGCCAGGCCGGTATAATTAGCTTTCTTTTCGGGGGCGCGATTTGACGAGTCTTGCTTCTCCCTGACACCCTCATGTCTCCTGTCTTCACAAACTTCACGTCTCAGCACCCGCACGTTGGGAGCGCTGCCCGTCGTGCCGCGCAGGCGTAGCGCCCAAGCGCCTGGACACCTCGGCGAAAGGGAGGGGCACAGGAAGGATATGCCGAAAAGGAGGGGAATCTGGTGCTGCAGGCGAATATGTGCCGGATGCAAACGTTTCAAAAAGACGGTCTGGGAGCACTACGGGCACGCGGACTAAAGAGGATTCATGTACTGAGGACTGAGGGCGCGGGACGCACACGGCAGGCGGCTCCACGGTGTGTGACTGTAACTAAACTTCAATGTCAGCAATCCCATCACGGCACAAGTCACATGAGTCATGTTGCAACCGTACTATATTCTACAGTCAGTCGTGGTCCTTGCCAAGACTCGACATGCAAAGACTGCAATGTATTTACCGCATCAGCATAGCCACTGCATTCTTGAATGTACAAGTGCGTAATTGCAACATCCATCGCCAGTGCAGTGATTTGTACGGCAAGACAAGGTGGTACGGTAAGGTGGGCAAGGCGAGGTGGAACACATGTTATCATGTTCCGGCATGTGACGTGTGCATGTACCGTAATGCAGCCCTGATGTAATTTAACGCAATATTTCTGCAGGTGTGCATATCAATGTGCATCTGTATGTAATGCAACGCAATGGAATGTAGATTATCTGTTGTGGAATGTAACTGTAAACGAGGGCCAGCACCGACATTGACTTCTCACAAAGCTTTTCCACCTTCTGCCTCGATTGGAGGCTCAGGAGCATGCCTCTCCCCGTGGTCTCACTGAGGCCAAGCGCCTCTCCCTTGAGACTGCGCGAGGCTCTCTGGCAATTGCCTGCCCTTGGCAGGCCTGATAAAGGTGCTGTACATTGCCAGATTCGCCCTACAACTAATTTTTGAACCCCCCCTAGAGGGATGCAGCGAAAATGCAGGCAAAACATAGACTTGAGGGAGCTTGAGATTGCTGGCAGTAAATTCTTGTGACTTTTCTTCGGAAATGACTTCAGACTGAATAACTTTTTCTGCTGTACTTGCAGACGGTTGAACTGAAAACTACAGGATATACGGGTCACAGGACTGAAGGATTGCTGTCAACATCCAGTGTGATGTCACCGCCATCGGGAATCGTTCCGTGACGGTTCCGGCCAGAGGCCGAATGCAGCCCGAGAAAATCTTTCGCATGAACAGTACCCATCGTCACGCACAAGGACTTCTATCAAGGTTGACTTGACAGACAGCTAAAGTGACATATATAGTAGCTGATCACAACCGTCAAACATCCAGACTGCCAGCAATCACGAGCTCACGCCCAACTGAGTTGCCGCTCAAGCAGGGATGCTCTAAGTCATGAGCCTCTGCGTTAAAGACTTACAGTTCGGGCGTCTTCCCGAGGTGCAGGCGGGCCGCTGGCCTGGTTCTCACCTCCGGAGCTTCGTTAAGGCGAAGATTCTCGATTCTTGCGAGGGCCCCCCCCCCTGCCTGAAAGTCGTGCCCGGTAGCGACAGATCGTCAGGGCGCACGAGCCTAGTTAGTAAGCTGCCCGCGCTCAGAGGCAATGCAATCTCGCTCATTTCTACGCCGCAGAAAGCAGCTGAGTCTGGAGATGCTTGCAGGAAGCAGCTGAAGGCGATCAAGACGGCCCAGGCAGCCATGAAAGTGCCCGAGGCCTTCCATAGAGAAAGCCGCGACGTCGCAGAACCCGCCACAGTGGACGATGTTGGGATCTGAGTCACTGGCAAGCATGGAGCACGCTCCTGAGAACGTCAGCGCACGGACGACGTCCTGCACAAAGCGAAAAAGCCCTGAGGCAACGATGGAGCTCACCACCAGCACCGAAATCACAGGGACCGGCCTTGAAGGTGTCCTTGTTGATGCGACGCGCCTGAGTCAAAGGGCACACCACTCGTAGTGGGTAAAGTCCCATCATGCACCATGCATGAGATTGTGTGAGTATGCTGTGGCTGGTTCCGCACGGCCCCAGACTCCCTCCTCTTTGCATAGGAGCCACGATAAAGTTTCCAAGTGGAGTTGCACAAAGCATCCCCAGCACTGTCGCGATGTACCTCTACAGAGAATCGGTTCGCTTCCGACTCCGCAGGAGAGACCTGTGTACAGTCAAACTCTGGGGCGCAAGATCTTTTATGGGCCCTCACTTGCCAAGTTGCTGTGGTACCCTCCGTTTGTCAAATTTTTTCTCCATGACGAAAAGATAGTATGCCTAAGCGGTCGGTCAGGCAACCATTCAGAGCGTGCACCCGGCCCTTCTAGCTCAACATGGTTCCAAATTCCAAGACTGCGTCGCCTTTGTCGGTAGCCCGGCCGCAGAATTGAGGACGGCATTGGCTCGCCAGGTATCTTTATCCTGATCAAAATGAACCGATGCCACTGACATCCGAGGACTATGCGTCCTGACTACAGACATTGACATCCTTGATTTTAGCTCATGGTGCGATGCCAGAGAAAAGAATGAAGATCGTCAAGGCCGGCATCGGGACAGTGTACATGCCTTGCACACCAAGTCTGTCGGCTGGCACAACAGCGCAATCCTACAGAGTGCGGTTGGGCGGCTCCTTCACAGACAGCTGATTATGCTAATTAGTTACCCTCATGCTGGTGATGAAACAGACATACCCATGTATCGTACGTACACAGCAGCGAGCAAATGAATCATGCTGGCTGCACCTTTCAGTAGGCCACCAGTCGCACCGAGGGCTATGGCCTTGCCAGAACGCGTCTGCAACAGCAGTCAGGCGTTGCAGACGTTGCAAATCTTGCGCAGGAGTCCTTCCCAGCACCGGTCTAGCCACACGTAGAAGTAGCTGGCCTTCGCCAGGTCACGCGGCCTCGCCGCGTCAAAGCCAACGGGCGAAGGCTGCTTCCTTGGTGTCTCTGAGATGAGCAAATCAGATACAGCAAGGAAGGTATATGTTAAGAATCCTCCAACACTAGGTCCATGGCCAACCTCGAACTGAACATCATTAGATGGAAAGCCCTGTATGACAAAATCAATGATCGCTTCTGTATCAAAATACCATCTTCAATTGCCCTCAGACACCGAAAGACACATTGAACTACAACTTGCCACCGAGAAAAAACCCGCAGAAGCCGAAAGATAAGTACCTGAAATGCATTCGCATCTTCTGAAACTCCCAGCTGCGCGCATCTTTTTCCATGCACATCTGCGAACCCAAGATTCTGCAGGACCCGCGACCGTTCGCCCGCCTCGCCTGTCTCGACCTCTGCGTCTGGCACAGCTGCATTCTCCTGCCCACCTCAGCAGAGATCCTTTCTTGGGAAGCTCAACCTGCCCTAAATTCAGGTTTGTGTTTCATGTTGCAGCCCGAGGATGGAAGATCACACATTGCAGCTTTGTGAAGCTGCATGTAGGGGCCGTGCTGACGACCGTCGGCTGACCGAATGCCTGCATACGGCAGGCACTAGCACTAGCTGTGACCAAGCTGCTGGACATGGCACAGCAGCAAAGAACTCAAGTTGTTGCTGGACTGTCGCAGGTCATGTCGTTGCTCAACACTGCGATTTGAACGGCATGACCACTGTTGAGCAGGCTATAGGCTATAGCACGCATCTGCCATGGCGAAAGTTGCAGCAGGAATCTTGACCTTCTGACAGCAGAAAGAACTAGCAAGCTTCGAGGTGCCTGCGCCTTCTGTGAGCTGTCCCCGTCAGAGCTGGATGCCTGTAATGGAGGATATGCTTTGACGCAATCTGGCCATGGATGACCCGCTTTGATCGCCACTCTCGGCTTGAAAATCACCCCACGGCCACGGCGCTTACGACGTCGCAGGCCCCATCTGCCCAAAACACAAATACTCACTCCTGCGTTTCATAGAGCCCTCAGACTTGCCCCAGGCCTCAGTCTCTGCCACTGAGCCACTGCCCCATCCCTAGCTCCAGTGCTCTGATTCAGGCTCTTCGGCCCTGTAAAGCCTAAATCTCCAACCGCCGCAGTAGCTTCTGTCGGCTGAGGCTTCGAGTTGGCTTGCGTTGAGGGCTGAGGGCTACCGGTGGCTTCGAGTCGGAGGCTTAGGCCGAGGCCGATCTTGCGGCCCAGGGCACCTGCCGATTACGACGGTGTTGCTCAAAGGCATCCACCAGCAAAACCTCAGACAGCAGCAGTCTGCTAGACTCCAAGACACGAACCTTTCCTTCGATACCTTCTACAAACTCATTGATACGAGCACCCTGCGCTGATGGCTTTGATCTCCGGGTCCAGAACACGAGTCTGTGAGTTTATTGACTGGGACAATCTGTCGTAGTCAGAAATGGCACTTCCCGCCTGCAGGACTCTCGCTGCATTGCCAAGGAGCAACGAATAGAAGGATGCCGAAAGAGCGCTTCAGCCAGGGCGAATCACTGTTAGCGATCAGCACCTCCGATTTCATTCCCAGCTGATCCGGTTTTGTTGTTGGACTGCATGCACAGTGCAAGCTCGGCAGTGCCGCCCTCGTGCCGATGAGCTCGAAAATCGTCCATGGAAGCCACATCGCTATGAGGAATCGTAAGTTGATGTGGGCCCGAAGCGTCCAAATCTGAGTTCAGCGGCAGTATGCGGGATATCTCGGTCTGGTGCAACGGCTACGACAGGAGTTCTGCTTGGCTCACGATAAATCCTGCTGAAGCTCATGCTTACAGGCGTCGTGGAGGTACAGATCTGGTCGTAGAGGTACACACAGCAAGAGGGAGAGAGGGCGGGAAAGATGCATACCAAAACAACTAGACTTACAGAGAGACATACCAACCACGGAGTCGCGTGCGAGAATGAGGCAGGCAAATATTGATTGGAGGTGCGCACGGACAGACTGCAAGACCGAGGGACAGGGAGAAAGCACTACAAACAGACAGACATGACTGACTAGGAACATTATCACACAGAGGATGAGCAAAACACAGCGCACAAGCTAGCGGGGATTGATCGGGAGAGGTCGTGGAATCAACGAGCAACTACCAGTAAGAGAGAGAGAGAGAGAGAGAGAGTAAGAAGCACTCCAATGAGGGCGTGACAGTGTAGATCGAGCCCAGGTCGAAGAACACCTCGCTGGGCGACCGCAAAAACACATCAATGTTGAAAGCAATGTTGAAAGCATGCATGGTGCAAGACGGCGAAGCTAGCTGCAACTAGCTAGGCCTAGTGTTTGCAAGGAAGCGTCACCCCCCAGTCATGTTCTTGCGACAAGCTTCAATGAAAGCTGCTGCATCTTCAAGGGAACCGATGTTGTAGCCAAGGGTGTCCGACAGCCTCGGCAAACGAGAGTAGCATGAACCGAAAAGTGTTGTACATGACAGGGAAGTGAGTGTCTTGACTGAATTCAAACACAGGATCCCGATCCCCACAGGACTTCAGGGACCAGTACATTGAAAGGCTGACATGACAGGACTTCCAGCTGCGTCGCAGAATTCCTGTGGTGAAGATCCTCGGGGCACCCATGCAAGAAAGAAGGAAACATCGCCAAATCGTGGCCTTTGCTTCGATGAGCAAAATCACTCGACTTCAAGCCCGGTGCATGCTCGCTGATCTTTCTTGACAAGTGTCATGTACCCGCCCAAGGATGCCACAACTCTTGCCAAACCGCTCGCATTGCTCCTGGAGCTAGTTGTCTTGTGGATGTTCAGTGGGTTCAGGAAACGGATTTCAGTAAATCAACTACTCAGGCCACATGATTATCAGCCCGACAAGCCACATCCTTGCCTGTCTGACAGACCCTTTCAAGTACCTCCGCGTGAAGTTGGAGCTCCTTCCAGCTATCTACCTACGCACGCATGAATGTGTGGCATAGCAGCGAAGGCCGTCGATCAGACGAGCAGTCTCCGCCAGCAACCGCTACGGCCCCAACACGTGCCCACTTACAGCGAGGGGGGCTTTTTGCCTGTTCAAGGGAGGGGGCGGGGGGGTTCTAAGTATGAAGTGAACATGGCAAGGTACAGCACTAGATCCTCAGAAGGAGGCACCCTTATGACGATGCAGACAAGCTGCAAAGCAAACGTCAGAGCTGCTGCTGGCAGGCCATAATTCTCCATTGGAAAAACAGGAGGTGAAAGGGATGCTTCTTGCGATATCTTGCGCTGGCCTCCATGAGCCTGAATAAATACAGAGCTTAGAGGCAAATCTAGAGATGAAGTGAAGGGGTCATGCCTGCATCATCTCCGTCAACTCGCATCAATATTCATGTCCGCTTTCAAGCCCTTCCATGTGCCAGCACTCCCCTAGCAGCTGCCGTGGCTTGGCTTCTGTCGAGATAGCAGCTTCTTCGTCTTGAGCCGAAGTGTAAGCTGGACGCCGAGACAAGTTGCTGCCCAGGAAAGCAAAAGCAGTCCCACACAATACGGCACCTGAGACTCCAAAGATCACCACTGGGTGCCCAAGCACATCTTCAACTGCGCCCGTTGGCTCCCCGTCGTGGCCGCCTTCCGCGAGGTTTCTGGAAGAGCCTTTTTACATTCCAGCGAGACCAGTACTAGAGCTCTGTGCCCCAAAAAAGCCCACGTTCCCGTCCTGCATCCAGAGCACCCGAGCTGCATCTGGGTCGGACTCAAGGCCTCCTAAGCCTTGTGCCAAGAAGGTACGAGAGCGCAACTTCTCTCACGCAGAAAGACGGGCTGCAAAGCTCTTGCACGCCTTCGTCCAAGATCTCCCCCAGACCTCAGTTGGGGCAAGCCCATCTGACAGTCTGCCTCGACTCGTGTCACATGCAGGCAGGTCTCAGACCGGCTTGCCCTACTCCAGCTCTCGGCATTGCATCGACTGAGACTGCAGACTCCATCTAGCATTCCCGCGGCGACGTCACTGCTGATGGCTGCTTCGATGCTGCAGTGCTGAGGCACCCACCCAGCAGCGCTTCTTCGTTGTTCGAGTCCTGTGCAGGTTTGACATCGTCTCAACTGCGACCCGGGGCGGCGGTAAGCTTTTGGCCAAACCACCTCCTGCAAGCTCGCCTGGAAGAGCTTGACCGCACGCCTGATGCAGTTCCCTGCTTTTTTTCGCAGGAACCTGCTTCCAGTACAGTCTGGATCGACAGGCTGGCCTGATGTCCTCGAATTTGCGCACGGCCTGGCACCGAATGGCCAACTGTGTCCAGTTCGTTTGCAAGAGTCTGCACTGCCAGCCTCATCTTGGTCGCGATAGGTTCTCAGCAAGGCAGCCTAAGGCAAACGACGACATCATGGCTCAACATAAGACACTGCTTCGAAGATCGGACGTATTTGATGTGGCTCTGAGTAGCCTGCCGCACGCTCGCTGAGCTCGCTCGCAATGGTGGGCTCAACCTTGTAAACTCTGTTCGGAAATCCGATGGGCAGGATGCATTGCGACGGGTTCCTGCCTCCTCTGCTTCCGCCCGAGAGGATGCTGCACGCTGAGTGTCCTCCTCACTTCGCTTCCTCAGGCGAAGCGGCATCGCATATCAAGGTGGTATGGTACGTAAATCTTTCTTGCGGCTGAAGGTCGCTTCCTCCAACTTCTGCTTTGCCTCCTGTGTGCTCCAGCCATGGCGCACAGTACTGGTAGCAAACACAGTGGAACACATCTCTTCCAGCCTCCAGCAATGAGGACAAGGTGTCAGAATCACCCAGAACCTGGCAGCAGCACTCAATTTACGGTGATGGTAATCGTAGGCCGTAGGCCATCTTGGGCGGCTGTGTCGCCCAAGAGGACCCCTCTGAACTCAATTTGTGAAGCTTGTTTGTTCGTCCGTGCGGGCCTTGATGCCACGCATGCAGAGTGCAGCAGCTGTGTCTGGGCGATTTAGTCCCAGAGCAGCTGTAGCAGCTCGCCAGTACGCCCGTCCGTTCAGCTGGTCCTGAACAAGACTGCGGCGAGTTCAGCGCAGCATCGAGTCGACCAACTGAACCTTGACGACTCCTGCGACTACTGACCGGAATGTCATTGGCAGCCGCTAGGCCGCTAGGCTGAACTCATGCAAACGAGGTAGGCGCTTGCAGAAACGAGGCCACGTTCTAACTCTCCGCCGTCGCTGCCAGCTCGAGTGGGGAGATTCAGACTCTGAGTTCTGAGAGACAGGCATGCTCCAGGGCAAACTCAGAGTCCTGTCCAGACAGATGGTTGAATACGGGAGCAGGGGAGCAATGGAGCCACGGCTCAAACATGAAGATATCATGAACAGCTTGCAAAACGAAATCGGATTCAGCACCGTGGGACATATGAGGTAAATGAAGCATTTCACGAATCGGAATGTTAACTTGCTCGTACGATTGAGAAGGACGTCCCCGTTCCTGCTAATCTAAGGACTTACTGCGCGATGACCCGGCAGCGAGCTTGGTTGAGACTCTGAACGATGTCTAGTCTCTGACCTCACCACTTGTCAACGGGTCCCTTCGACCCTTCACGAAGTCCTGCAGGGCTTCTGCTTGCCTTCCGAGCCGAGCCTGCGCCTGCGACTAAGGCTAAGGGGACCTAGTGTTCCCCGTGAAAGACCATCGCGATGGCTTCGGGGGTTGAGTCTTCGGGAGCTTGTGTGGGGGGCTGCAGCATGCTGCAGCACAGCAACACGGAAGAACAACAGCGTGCAAGTTGAGAACAACAAAAACCCACCGAGCTGCCTGCAGATTTCAGCATGGGATAGTGGGGCAGTCGGACGAGTCAGGGAGTCATGGTTGAGTGCAACATTATCTCAAGCGGCATTATCAGGGCACGCCGCCTTTATGAGATGTTTGATGTTCGACAGCTGCCGAACACTCAGCGCAAATCAAACGCTGACTGCTCACATGCTGTCCCCGTCACGAATCGGCGGGGCATTTATTTCGCAGCCGACACTCAGACCGTCGATCATGAAGCACCAACACTCTTCATGAGATTCAGGGCTGCTTTTAAGCTCAGGTCAACCCACCCAGCCAAGCTTTACTCGGCTCTGGCCTGCGCCCGATTCAGGTAGAGCTGGCTCAGAAGCTTCCCTTCCACATTAGCCTCCTGCCAGGTTTCCACATGCTCCCCGATCCTCGACGAAAAGTCTGCGAGGCAATGCTGGCAGTTGTGCAAGGGGCCTTGGCCGCATCAATACCCCGGGAGTAGCATTCCTTGGAAGCTGTGCAAGGCGACTGAAGCAGGACGTCACGCAATTCTGGGCCGGAGGGTTGACCAGACTCGTGGGATCATTCTAGACATCTGTCGCTGCCTGGTTCTCTCTGCGAAATGAAGGCGCCTGTAATGGAGATGCCGCAATGGGCGATAGGGCCTATAGGGCTTTACAAATCATGCACCGCGATTCGTTGCGACTCTTACAATAACAGATCGTTTTTCCTCCTTTAAAGCCATCCTTGCAAGATCGATGCTCTTCAACCTTTTTAACATTCGTGATAAGATGCTTGCGGTTGGTACAGCGGCCTTTCTTCCCAATCGTAGATATAGTTGGCCAGTTTCACCATGTGACACAGCCCAGGCCGATAAAATGTGCCTACAGTGCCTGCGGCTGCCCAGCCAGCAATGCACATGGCCACACCGTGGGCAATATCCCGACCACATTTGGATAACGTTTCTAGCGCTTTCTGGTTGCGATCTCTGGCCGTAGCTTCCTTTGCCGACTCTAGCCGGCTGCCGTGGCTACAATGCACGCCAGGACCATAATGTTGCCTTGGGGCTCCGACTTCCAAGCTCTTCTCGCGCATCATGCAATGCAAGCATGACTTATTTTGCCAGTCCGTCTGTGCGATACGAGTCGATGCATTCAGCTCGCTTTGAAATGCCAAGGCTCGACCGCGCCGGAAACATCACCCTGCATGCTGAGGGTTCTGGTCCTATCCCAGCATTTAAAGCATTAGTAAACACCTAAGACTTGCGCCTCAGTGAGGCGCGCGTTGCCGTCGGACTTCCACGTTGCCACCTCCGGCGAACAAGGGACAGGGAGGCTACGGTTGGAATTGAAAGGGAGCTTCCAAATTCCAAACCACGCACAGAAATGCGACTAAGCCACCCGTTCTTCGCAAAGCCTCGGCTGCATCAGCACTGAATCCGTTAAGCCTATTGGGCGAGCTTCGAAACGCTGCCGCTGCACGCCGCTCTAGCAGTGCAACATGCTGTCGCTCTATTTACCTCATGAAATCCCTTGCACAGCTGTCAAAGAACTCGCCCAATAGAAGCACCGCTAAGCACCAAGTAACCGTTTCACCTCGGCTGCTTCCGGCCCGGCCTTTGGAGGCGCTGAGGCGTAGCCCTCGAGTCAAGGGCTCTGAGGCTCTGCAAAGCACATGACAGGAAAGCCGCATTGAAATTCTCACGATGCGACAGGAGTTCAGGTGGGAAGACACTTTACCTCGGCAGCAGTGGGAGCTCCCGTCATGGCTTCGGGAGGAATCGTAAACGAGGTCCTCGGGGTGTCGGATGCTGCTCAGATCTCCCCATCATGTGCCTTGCCGCTGGCTAGAACTACTAACCAACTATAAGCGTCGTGAATCTGAAGGTGTATGTCTTGTTGGCGCAGCAAGTAGACAGCAAGACGCAAGGTAGAATTGGAGTTTGCTACGCTGCCAAGGCTCGTGATTGTACTTTGGGCAAAAAGGCTGCATGATCACTATGGCAGGTCTCACCTGAACACAGGCAAACCCGACGCCCTTCGTGCCAGGGGGTTTTATAGCTCCAACATCGGTACACCAGAACTAGAAACTTGTTCTCCATGCAATCTGGATAGGCCCCTGGCGCGGCTCGGAAGATATGCAACACTCATTGTTCTGGTTGGATGGGTATGTTTCTCCTGGTTTGGAATCTCGCCATTCAGAAGGGGCTGCAGCGGCAGTTGATGGTATTGCTGCTGTAAGAAAATCAGAACTGTACATGCCAGCATGACCACTATCCTCCCTAGCCACACGGGGTTGCATGTTCTCGGCGGCTTTCGACATCGGAAGCCATCTCAGTTTGCCTCGCCGCTTCAGTACAGAACACTAGTCACTAGACCATTGCTAGCAGGGCTGACATCGTAGATTTGTAATGCGGTGCTTCGTCTAACCTTGCCGGATCAAGAGTATATAAGGCCACTTGGATGTCACCGGGAAGGTTCGACATTGAACAGACGAATACACGACGGCTTGCTCACACCATGCCCCATCTGAGCGAAATCCTCGGAATCACACATGCCTGTCAAAGGTTACGTGAAGCTGACGGCTTCTGACCGTCCAGAGTCCAGAGCAAGTCTTTTTCGCACACCACCGCCGTCACGCTTTTGGTCTCAGGGCACTACTAGTACCTCAAGGCGGAGTGTGCAAGGGATGTTTTGCTGCATCACATGATGTCAAAGCTCAGGGCGTTTGGTTGAAGCTCCAGACCGGAGTGGGCAGCGCAGCAGCTGCTTCACGCTGCAAGCAGTGGCCTCGTCAGGAAACCTGAGGAATGCAACCCACAGACTCATAAGGATCCAATACTTCCGGTATTCAGATAACAATCCACGGGAGGTCCCAGGGGTCTTGGCTTCGGGATTGTTAGGATCAACAAATCTGCCGAACCCTCTGAGGACATCGAACGCTCTCGCGTCTGACGGTTCAAGAAAAATATCACCCAAATCATCGAACATTATGCTTCGTCAGGCTCAGCCGCCCCACTGGCTCGAGAGTGCTGAACGCAGTGGCAAGTCTCTCACGTGCAGTTGTGGCATGGAGCGTAAACAGTATTCCCCTCCGGTTGCCTTGATGCTCTCAGATGCAGCTGCCTGCTGAAGAGGTATCAAATCCAAAACTGGTATCCAAGCATTCCGGCTGGAGGAATCGCATTCCACGTGCGTCGCTCGAGCGTTTGGCTGTCATGAAAGTGCACGTTGCCACCCCCGACTCTTGTAGGTTCTTCTCGTCGCCGCGATTCTCGCTGCACTGTATTTGCAGTGGTGGGTCACATGGCAGCGAGTGGCGGTTTCCAGGGCACTTGAGGCAGCTGAAGTGGTCTGCGATGTGCATCACATTCACGGAGGCATTGATCTGGCCAGCGACTCCTCTGATGTCGTCTGCTATCCATCACAAGCGGTTCGGGGATGTGATCCCCGCCGCAAACCAACCTGGTTCAGGCATAGAGGTAGCTCTGCGAAGTGCCATGCCCTCAAGAACTTTCTTCACTGTCTTTAACATGAAGCTTTGACATTTTCCTGCCTGCACCTCTTGCTGAATGGTCGCAAGGAGGTGGAGCTTCGCTGTTGCCGGCGATAATGGGATCTCAGTGCTATTCAAGATCACTGCATGGACTTTCAATATTGCATTGCCCTACTCCTGTCAGTCTGTTTCATTGTTTGAGACGGATCCTTTTGTAAGCGTCTTCGAAGCAACAGGTTCAACGGGCGCTCGCTCGGAAGCGCTTCTGATTCTCCAGTTTCAGACAGTCGGTGCAGAGATACCTATACTAATTTGGGGGATGCTGTTGTGATTATAGTAAAATGTATATCCCAAAACCCTGCAGAGTTCTCGGAGGCTTGGAATAGCAGATATTCTCAGACCAGCTGCCGGATCCATCCGCATGCGGCTATCGGGCGCGAAGGCCCAAGCGAGCAAGGCCAGGCCTTGCCTGCGACATGACAAAAAGAACAACTCGCTCCTCTCCTTCAGTTAGAAGGAGTGTACCCCAGTACAAACAGCACTAGCAGCGGGCCCCTAAAAGACAACAAGTCAACTCAGTCAAGCCCGCAGCTGCACTGTGGTGACTGCACTGTAGCACCTCTGGCTCAGAGTTCTCCGAGCCCTTTGCCGCCATGGTGCGGTGAGAAGCCGTGATGAGCCGAGGCAGCGGCCAGGCCGCGCAAGAGGCGCTCGCCAATGCCTTTCGACGCCGACGTGAAGGAGCCAAGGTGAGGTGTGCTGGTGATTCCACTTGGGCTCTGCCAAGTCTCCTACAACTGCTCAGTTTCATTCTCCAGGAGCGACGATTCCAAGCATACCGCAGCCCTGCCTGTTGCGAAGACCGTAGTGCAGCCCAATGCCCAGGCCATGTTGGAGAGGCCTCTCACATCTCGGATGACGATGCTTTTTGCTCTAGAGGCAACGTGATGCAATGAGACTTGCTAAACGAGATGACTTGGAACTTGTCCAGACATGCCTTTGAACGTGCACGTGCCGACAGCGCATCTGGCCTTGCGAGGAGAAGCCTTCCAACCTGGAGTCATGCTGGTGACTACTGTCTACGTGCTCTACGATGCAGAACGCGACGGAACCAGAGCGTAACCGGGCCTGGGCAGGGCCGCGCGGCCCAAGGCTTCGACTACCGTGGCACCTTCGGCTCTGGTGGATAAGTGAATCTTGTCTTTCGCTCTCTCTCGTGCTAGGGCTGGGGTGGGGGTAGTCCCCCACCGAGTGGTAGTGCGCCCCCGCCGGGAAGTTGCATGTAGTGCTTTTGCTTTGCTAGGGGCTAGGAGCGGGAGCAGTCATGTAGTGCTCGCTCTCTCTCTCTCTCGCTCTCCGCTCTGTCGCTCGGCCACAAAGGGGCTGTCCGCCTCCCTAGGGCCCCAGACTCGTTTACCGGACCGATCAATCAATGTGTGCGTGTGTGTGTGTGTGCGTGTCTGTGTCTGTGTCTGTGTCTGTGTCTGCGTCTGTGTGTGTGCGTGTGTGTGTGCGTGTGTCGGTGTCGGAGGGGCGTTATGATGCAAAGGCAATTAACTGCTAGAGACTCTTGCTTGCTTGCATCGCTTGTGGGCCCAGGTGCAACCCGAACACTACAGTTACATGCCACGCGTGTGTCCTTCGAGTTTCAGTCGGCGTAAGACTTAGGTGGATGCCTGGTGGTGTGCAGCATGCTGTTCCGGCCAGTTCTCGAAGATGAGCTCAAGAACAAGCGTACGACGCACGATTTATCCAAATTTATCCTCGGCTTCCGTGTTGACAAGTTCCGTCTGTAGATTGCTGAGGCTTTTGATTTTCAGCGGTTCCGCGCAACCAAAAAAGATGTGAAGCTGCTCCCTGGAGGCGCGCTCCTCCCATCCTTGTGACCGCTGAACCGCAATGAACCGCACTTCAACAAGCATCCGTTCTCCCCTAACGTTTATACACACACTCTCTCTCTCTTTCTCTTTCCCTCTCCCGCGCTCTCAGCCACATCGATGTCGGAGCAAAGACTTCCCGGGGCCGAGCACGTGAAGCCATGGTCCTCAGGATCTGCGTCTCTCCACACCAGCGACACGTTGAGAAGGCTTACTCTGCCTAAAGACAGAATTGCAGCACGACTCATTCTAGCAATTCGGATGCACCCCAAGGACCCTCAATGGTAGGTGCAATTGCAGCATTAGGGGCGCGAAGGCCCAGGCCAAGTTCGACAGCTGTCTCGCCTCGAAGGCCTGCTGCCGCTAATATGATTAGTTTGTGCTTTGTGGCGCGGGGGCATGTTGAGATCTTCTTGTTCCTGGATGTTCCCACATGCCAGTTCCGGGCAGTCTCGGGGGACCCGAAGCAATTCTTCGTACGTCGCGCCGAGAATCTCCCCACCCAGCTTGTACTATCTTGTGCTGATCGCTCCTTTACTAACCGACGTTCTAGCACTGGGTGCTGCACTTAGCCTTTCGGTATAGCAAGCTCTGAACGACGCTGCGGGACTTTCGGACTACCACGGCTGAAGCTGCAAAGCTGCACGCGTACCTTTGTACGGGCACAAGCTTCAACTACCAAGTCTTGAGCAATTGTGTGCTTTGCCACAACTGCTTGGTGCACACCGTACTAGTTCCATGTAGGGACAAGCAGCCTCCCCCAAATTGCTACAGGTCTACTGCATGAGACAGCTGCAAACCCATGTTCGGAAGCTGTTATATGCTGCACATCTGGCAGCTGTTCCTGCACGGCGGAACTGTTGCCGCCAAATCGTGGGCAACCCCACGAGATGACTCGACCATCTTCCAGGATCGCAGCGAAAGCGCGGTCGCATGCTTGCACCTCCAGCACATTGTGCAGCTGCTCTGCGACTGCACTGCAGTCCCCACCATACTCTGGGTCACCCCAAGCAACTACGGATCCGTTCTCTAAGATGGCTGCAAAAGCCGATCCAGAAGATTGGACATCTCGCACCTTTCTTGCAGAGCCGCTTAGGCCGCTCAGCTCTTTTTCCACAGCTCTGCTGTCGCCTCCACCCTCCGGAAGGCCCCAGGTGACCACGGAGCCGTCTTTCCGGATCGCGGCGAACGCAGAACTCGAAGCCTGGATGCAGCGGACCTTTGACAGCTGCTCAGCCACCAAGCGGCTGTCCCCACCGTAGTCCAGATCACCCCAACACAGCACGGAACCATCAGACAAAAGAGCAGCAAAAGCACGATCTGATGCCTGGACTTGATCAACCCCGTGCAAGCTCGCTTGCACATCACTGCTGTCACCACCGTAGCTGGAATCTCCCCACGTCACGACAGATCCATCCTTCAGCACTGCTGCGAAGGCACAGTACGAGGCTTGGATGCAGAGCACGTTCCTCAACTGCTCTTGCACAGCGCTGCTGTCACCCCCATCATCCGGCTGACCCCATGTAACGACCGATCCATCTTCACAGATTGCTGCAAAAGCATGTAAGCTCGCTTGTATCTGCTTGACACCCTGCAGCTGCTCCTGGACGGTGCTGCTGTCACCCCCTTCTTCCGGGTCACCCCATGTCACAACATGTCCATCGTTCGAGATCGCGGCGAAGGCTTGCCTAGTGGCCTGGATCTGGCAAATGTTCCGCAGACGGTCCTGCACCTGCTGGCTGTCGCCCCCACATCGGGGATGACCCCAAGATACCACCGTTCCATCAACCAGAATCGCTGCAAAAGCGCGTGCTGCGGCCTTGATGCATTGCACTCCTTTCAGCTGTTGCTGTTGCTCGAATCCAGCTTTGCCACCATCGAAAGGATTGCCCAATGTCATAACAGATCCGTCTTTGCGCAAGACGGCAAAGGCTGAGTTAGAAGCTGCGATCGCATCCTGTCGTACGATGCCCCATACAGTCTCCTCGTTCTCGATGCCTGCCTCGTCCAGCGTCATTGAGGCATTTATCACATCCCCACGTTCATTGATCAGCTTGCTCAGACCGACGCCCAGTTCGATCTGGGCATCTCGTATAACTTCATTGACTCTGGTATTCCCGTGCACTTCTATCACAACCTTCTTGCCGCTGATCAGGGCCACCGCAATCACGGGCATTGGATCTGCTTGTGGTGGGCGGATCCCAGGAGTCGCATTGGGCTTGCATGCTGCCGCTGTTCTATTTTACTACTTTCTGCACACTGTACACGCCCCGCTCAATCAATCTTCCGCCTTATACAAGTTCAAGGAGTTCCCGTTGGTTTCTTATGCTTGGAACCGAACTTCCAGACCATGTGCGAGTACAGCAAAGCATCAAAGCATCAAAGCAAAGTGTCACACTTGATCCCGAGGCGGCTGAATTAAGCGAGCCATCTGAAAGCTAAGTCCTCTAGCTTTGCTCATGGACTTTGAAGCCACATGAAGCCTGAAATCTTCTGAAATTCTCCTTCCCCGTCGATGCCTCCGCCCCTGCAAGCCGCTGCAAGACCTCCGTGGACAAAGGCGCCTCGAGGTTCCGGGCCTGTGCCTCGGTCTCCACACAGCTCGCGTCCTTCTGCGGCAACAGCATGAATGCCGGTCAGCTACGGAGACATGATCGGCCCGGCAGCGCGCAGCCACCCAGGAAAGAGCAGCAAGCTCCAGAGTCTGCGGTGGAAGATGCCAATCGGCAACAGGTTGGAACAGTCAAGTGGTCCGTCTGTCACTCAGTAACACACAACAATCGTCTTTTGCAGCTCCTAGATTGTCTTAGCTGAGGACAGATTGCTTGGTCTGGGATATACCGCACAAAGCACGCACGGCCACTCCGGAGATGTTCCGGCTTCCTGCTCTGGTCTTTAGGATGCTGTGCATGTCCAGAACTCTAGCCGCGGGTGTCCCACAGTTCTGCAGACGGCTTCTCGGCGGAACCTCTAAATAGTAACAGTAGTCCTGGAATAACAACTTGTCCACACACGACCGACGATAGTACACATTCTGTTCGCTAGCTGCCGGTGCCTTGATCTGTCTGTGATGATGCCCTGTCTTTCAGACAAACTGGTTGCCAGTTTCCGATAACGAACAACCACAACCTCCTGTAAAGCCTGCAGCCGCACCCTCGGCATCCCGAGCAACGTTGATGTTTGGAATTAATTGCATAAGTACATTAGGTTACGTTATGCATACGCTGCATCCACTTATCACAGTCTTTTATGATTGTTTGGACAGAAGCTCCCTTCCCACCTTCAGCGAACCAACAAGGTTGGACGCGCGGGAGAGTACAGCCTGGAGTGTAGATGCCTCCAGACCTGGGCAGCATGATACACAGCCATACACACGCATGAACACGAATGCGGCCGACACCACAATGCAGAGGAGCCGCTCCCGCTGCCAGCCTTCCGTACAACCAGTCGTAGTAGTAGTAGTAGTAGTAGTAGTAGTAGTAGTAGCAGTAGTAGGGACGGCAACACTTCCGTAAAGCCTGGAGCTAGAGAAACCCTGTAGGCCTCCAAACCTCACCACACCTTGAGACATTCAACGTCTAAACTCTTTCGAAACCATGCTTGACAGCGGCGTCAGAAATCTACGTCTGTTTGCACTTGCACTGCCGCGTCGCTTTTAGCCAGGATAGCGCCGTCATACAAAGGGGTACAGCAGTTGAATCTCAGCAGTGACAGAGGAGCCGCAGCACAGCGGCGCAATGTGGGTTTACCAGCATGAAGCGCCGTGTTGCTGATCAGGGTTTTGGGAGCCCAGCAGGCGAGGGAGTGGCTTGGCAGGCACAACCCACCGTGGTGCGAAGAGCTCCCAAGCCGGATCCCCGCCATCGTAATGGTGGAGTTGGGAACATAGCTGCGTGAACGAATTGTAGATTCGGACAGCCATGCTTTCTCCAGACCAAATCCTGATGGCAGCAGCGATGGCTTCAGAATACCGCGCACCAGTCAGGGCCAGCGGGTTTCGATCGTGCTCGGGGGCTTCTTGGTGATCTTGAGATGCGAAGGTGTACACAATGACACCCTCGCCTTCTGGAGAAGTCACCATCATCGGGCTGTTTTCCTCCTGAAGCTCCACCAGCAAGAGCAACAGGATGTCATGCGCATAGGGCAGTGCCATTTTCAGGCTCTGCCGCAGCTGCTCTGCCTGTGTCAACTCGAACGTGTTGTTCACCACTCGAACAAATACGCGTGCAGTCTCAGGCGGCACGTCTCCATGACCCAAAAATCGTGAGGCTCGCCGACCCATTTCCGCCTGGGCCTTTGGATCGTAAATATTGTGATGCCAAAAACTGCCACCCCAATTGGCACCCAGGAAAATGCGGTTCTGGTCTGTGTCCCTGTAGCCGGCACATGTCAGGAAATCTTCAAATCCAACATTTACTGAATGCATGATGCCCTCCAGCGGGCTCCGCGTCCAGTCGAACGGGTAGCTTTTTTCCCGAAGGTCGAGCAATTGCAGGGCGTAGGCCGTAGCACAGTAACAGCCAAGGCTTACGAAGTCGTACTCGCTGATGAAAGACACAGCTTTCTGACCTAGCAGGTTGAGCATTTTCCTGCGCTCTTGCGGCGGCATCTCCGCGCGCACATGCACGGCCGAGGTGCTGGGATCCTCGAGATGTGCATCCCAGGCTACTTCCTGACAGGGCTGACACAACAGCTGCTGCATTGGCTCCTCCGTCACTGTCGGCGGCTTCCATTCTGGAGCAGAAGCGCGCAGGGCGCTAGCTTCCACTTCCTCCTCCTCCTCAACAATGCAGATCTGGTCATCGGTCGCTTCTTCGAGCACGCTGGCCGCCGAGCCCTCATCCACCAGCAACTTCCAAATATCCGCAAAGCCCAACTGTCCAACAGCCGAAAAGGCTGTCTCAGCACTTATCAGCAAGACTGCCACTCCAGCAGGTGGCCCACAAAGAGGCAGCACCGCTGCTGCGGCAGAGGCGGCGGCGGCCGAGGCTGAGGCCCAGGAAAGCTTCAGGCCTGCAGCCGCCGAAAGCGGCAGCGTGTCCATCAGCATTGCTGATGGCGTCTGCTCGCTACATAGGGGGGCAGGACCCCACAGGAAAAAAGGAAACAACTTGTGGCTTCAGGGTTTGGAGTTTACAGCTCAATGTGGCGGAAAAGTCCAGAGAAGACTCTGTGTGATGCTCTCAACGAGCCAATGTCTTTCGCCGGAATTTCACAACGAGATCATACATGTCAAGGATGACTATCCCGACAATACACATCGAGGGTTAATGTTTGACCAAGAGCCAGGACGTCTCCGGAAGAGCCGATACTCAACCCTCCCCAAAACAGCCCACAGGCCCGAAACCTTCCGGCCTTAAAAGCTCAGGCCTCGTTGGATTCGAAGACGAGACGATTTTTTTTTTACAGAAACCGCAACGATACCTACAAGAATGACACAATGGCGTCTTGGTCTGTCGCAGGAGTTCTGGGGCATCTACGGAACACCACGCTCGCTGCAGGGATGTAGCTGCTCAAGAGCTTTGAAGGGACTTTGATAATTGGGGCCTTTGGGGGTATAATGTACTATAATTAATTGTAATAAAGGATCCCCAAAACCCTGTTCTAATTATCAAGGCGCTGCCTGAGGGTCTTCGGGAGATATTGTCTATATGCATTATGAACTATGAAGTTCGATGCTTCAACAAGCTGCGTGGACTGGCATGATTTGGGAACAAGCTTAGCAGCTTCTCCTTGGTTAAGGCGTCGACGGTACGCATTCAAATCTCGCAAGCACAGTGGGAGGGGAACAAGCCCCTGCTGTATAGCCGCAGGGATGCCCAGAATTAGGAGTTCAAGGCTGAGCTGTTGGGACTTGGCTTTCAGTGTCTAAGCTGCACCATGCCCAGCAACTTTGAAACATAGGCAGTTATACAGCTGCGCAATCTAAAACCTACCCTGCTACCTAGTAAAATAAGCCCTTCAGCAGCCGACCTGCCTGATTGAACGAATAGAGTTACCACGATATGCTGACTATAACGGAAGAGTCATCGCAGCTACTGCTCCTTGCTGCTGAAACGACTTTTCTTAGTACTGTTCTTGTCACAGAAAAAACACCCTGCGAAGGATGGCACCTTCCTTAAATCCTGGAGCTCCAAAACCCTGTATGCCGCCAAGCCTCACCGCCACACCTTGAAACATTCAACGTCGAAACTGTTGTTGCACTTGCACTGCCTCGTCGCTTTTAGCCAGGATAGCGCCGTCTTGCTAAGGAGTACAGCAGTTGAATCTCAGCAGTGACAGAGGAGCTGCAGCACAGCAATGCAATGTGGGTTTACCAGCATGAAGCGCCGTGAAGCTGATCAGGGTTTTGGGAGCCCAGCAGGCGAGGGAGTGGCTTGGAAGGCACAACCCACCGTGGTGCGAAGAGCTCTCAAGCCGGATCGCCGCCATCGTAATGGTAGAGTCACTGTCCGAATCTACACTTCGTTCGCGCAGCTATCTTCCCAACTCTAGGGTTGGGAAGATAGCTGCGCGAACGAACTGTAGATTCGGACAGTGATGCTGTCTCCGGACCAAATGCAGATGGCAGCAGCGATGGCTTCAGAATACCGCGCACCAAACAGGGCCAGCGGGTTTCGATCGTGCTCGGGGGCTTCTTGGTAATCTTGAGATGCGAAAGTGTACACAATGACACCTTCGCCTTCTGGAAAAGTCACCATCATTGTGCTGTTCTCCTCCTGAAGCTCCACCAGCAAGAGCCACAGGATGTAACGCGCATAGGGCAGTGCCATTTTCAGGCTCTGCAGCAGCTGCTCCGCTTGTGTCAACTCGAAGGTGCTGTTCACCACTCGAACAAACACGCGGCGGTCTCAGGCGGCACGTCTCCGTGCCCCCAAAATCGTGAGGCTCGCCGACCCACTTCCGCCTGGGCCTTTGGATAGTAAATATTGCGATGCCAAAAACTGCCACCCCAATTGGCACCCAGGAAAATGCGGTTCTGATCTGTGTCCCTGTAGCCGGCACATGTCAGGAATCTTCAAATCCAACATATACTGAATGCATGATGCCCTCCAGCGGGGCTCCGCGTCCAGTCGAACGGGTAGCTTTTTTCGCGAAGGTCGAGCAATTGCAGCGCGTAGGCCGTAGCACAGCAACAGCCAAGGCTTACGAAGTCGTAGCTTTCGCTGACCTAACAGCTTGAGCATCTTCCTACGGCGTTCCTGCGCCGCAGGAGAACTCCTACGCCGTAGGAAAATGCTCAACCTGTTAGGTCCTAAAGCTGTGTCTTTCATCTCATGAAAGCCACAGCTTTCTGACCTAGCAGGTTGAGCATTTTCCTGCGCTCTTGCGGCGGCATCTCCGCGCGCACATGCACGGCCGAGGTGCTGGGATCCTCGAGATGTGCATCCCAGGCTACTTCCTGACAGGGCTGACACAACAGCTGCTGCATTGGCTCCTCCGTCACTGTCGGCGGCTTCCATTCTGGAGCAGAAGCGCGCAGGGCGCTAGCTTCCACTTCCTCCTCCTCCTCAACAATGCAGATCTGGTCATCGGTCGCTTCTTCGAGCACGCTGGCCGCCGAGCCCTCATCCACCAGCAACTTCCAAATATCCGCAAAGCCCAACTGTCCAACAGCCGAAAAGGCTGTCTCAGCACTTATCAGCAAGACTGCCACTCCAGCAGGTGGCCCACAAAGAGGCAGCACCGCTGCTGCGGCAGAGGCGGCGGCGGCCGAGGCTGAGGCCCAGGAAAGCTTCAGGCCTGCAGCCGCCGAAAGCGGCAGCGTGTCCATCAGCATTGCTGATGGCGTCTGCTCGCTACATAGGGGGGCAGGACCCCACAGGAAAAAAGGAAACAACTCAATGTTTGCGGCCCAAAACCGTACCCCAAAGCAGCGACCGCTACGATGCCTCTGCGGCCATGAGCACCGTCAACGCCCAGGCCAGGTTCACCAAGCCCTGTAGTTGTCAGGGGATGGCGTCCGTTACTGCGTGAACCTTTCACAAGCGCTCACATCATCCTCAGTCCCGCCTGCGGCACGAGCTCCGGGCTGCAGGCATGCGCGGCACCAGACAGGCGCGGGAAAGACGTGCCAAGCTCAGGGTAGTGACGAAGCGGAAGAGGCAGGGGGCAGGGAGGGTCCCCAAAAGTTTAGGGTTTTGTCTACTGTAGATTGTACTTTGTACAGTTTCCTTAGCCTTCCCAAGGGCAGTCACGGGCAGTCCACGCTCCGCTAACACTGCAACCCATGAGACGAGGTCTCTTCTGCCTCCCACGGTACCTCCAGGGTTGCGAATGCCCAGAAGACATTCGCCACTCCTGCAAGCCGGCGGATCGCTTCAAAAGGAGACCACGCTTGCGCAGCAACGTTTGAGAAGTTTGAGAGAACTGTACGAATGTGCTATACAACAGAGCTCCTTGTGGCGACAGCTCTGCTGCGCGATCTTCTGCCGCACGAGCCGCAGCGGCGAAGGCTTCCGAGTCCTGCTCCGAAATGCACTGAGCGGCCTGCCACCCCTAAACCTAAACGCAACTCGATGCCAACATTACCAATTTGAATTGCCTCCTGTGAGAATCCGATCGCGCTCCGTTTCCTGCTGGCGCACACAAGGATGCGCAAACGTTCCTGGATGAGATGATATAGGGGCCTCGCAGCCTTCACCTCTGAGCTTCAGAGTACCGTTGTTCACCACATCTTAAGAATGCACAGGTCCAAAGGTGGTCCTGTCCAAGAGCTGCAAGCGCCCAGATCACCTGGGACTCGGAGAGTTGACACTGCAGACCTGGCCGGAGGCCCTTGCAGCCGGGCTGCTCCGCTGAGCTCCGTGGCTCCCAGCTGCCCGGGCCCCACACGGCGCTGCACCTGTGGAGCCCAGCTTACAACGACCCGGACCAGCAGATCGCTCGGTGCACCTCTTGCAAAGCAGCATCCAGCATGGGCGGCGCTGCGCTCAGCATGCCCAGTGCAGAAAGGAAGCCTGCGTCATTGCTGACAGAGTGCCTCATTTAAAACTGTCAAGAAATCCAGCACCGATAAGCGATAAGCAGAAAATTGATCGAAGAATCTGCACTCCACTCTACACCTGCCTGCAAATTCTTCAGGCTGAAACGTGGCCAGGCCTCGAGAGCCACAAGATCAACCCAAGCATTCCGGCCCGGAGGCTCAAGGAGCCGCTTAAGGCTTAAGGCAGTCATGTTCATGTAATGATCATGTATGCCTTCACAAAGAACTCGTTGTAAATACCCTTCACCATCATGGCCGAAGTCCCTGACTTTGTCTGGTAGGCACGAATTGCTCATTCGACAGCTCCTACCTGCATCTGAGGCTCCGATATCAACAGCCCGCTGACTCAGCCACTGTATGAACCTGGACAGTGTCACTTCTGGGAAGCTGACCGAGCAAAACAGAACGTGACGAATTAGTCCCGGCACCAGCTCGAGAAGAGAAACGCACAAGTTGGCTCTGCTGTACTGCACTACAAAGTTCTGACGAAATATTGTTGTGGACGGGGCTGGGACACTCTTGCGAACACCTCGACTCACAAACAGAAAGAGTAGCTTGCAGGCTCATGCCACAGCTTTCGTAAACGCCCCATGGCAGGGAAAATTTCTTGTATTGGTGGGTTTGGGGTACAAGCCGGGACCGACGGGGTACAGAGATGTGTGCTATTGCTGCTTGTCTTCTGCGACCGGCCACAACATCTGAAGTGCTCGCGCCTGCAAATCTGCAAACTGCGACTCCAGAGGCAATAAAGGGCGTAGAGGCACGCAGAATACATCGTAATTAAGACAGTGTTCGGTGGGATGTGTAAGGAATCTGGGGCCATGGTAAGCAAATATGCCAGCACAAAGACTAACATGCTGAGGCTAGCAGCTGGTCATTCTGATGCGCCACTGTGCCGAAGGACCATGCAATATTCGCCTGTGGCGCCAAGGAACGCCGCAAATAAGCGACCGCGATGCTATTGTGCTGCTGATGACATTCACGGACACAAAGACACTTGCACATCTGCCATCGGACAGGGTTGAGTAGAACGTTCGGATAGCGCATTTAAAGTACAGGCAGTTGCACTTGCAACGCGCAGGCCAACACTGCTCCTCTCGCAATCAAACCCTTTCGGGTGCTCAAGTGCAGGCAGGTGGCGACGTGCTGCGCTCCCAGCTCTGCAAAGCGGCATGCAGTGGCCAGCGAGGAGAAGAACTGAAAGCTGTGCTGAAAGGTTGAAAGAGTCGAACTTCACATAGTATCATTGTGTTGATGCATTTCGGCATTGCTTTATCTTCAAGCCTTGCGCCTTAGCCTGGGCTCCTCGAGCTCGGATTTATGAAGTCTCTCCCGGTCACAATGGCAGGAATTGCAGTCCAACGGCCGGGCTGTCGCAAATGGCCAGCGTCCCCGCTGCCCAGGCCAGGTTCGACATGTTCTGCACAGCGAAGGCCGTCGGGTCTGAACCTGATTCAGTTCCTACTATGCACTCTTATACCCACTTATACCTACACTTGGTAACTCGAGGGTGCGTGACTGGTGCGTGGGCTGCCTGAGTGGGGGGACTCACTTCGCAAGCGACTTCATCTTGCGACTTCTGGCTTGGACTGCCCGAACAAGGAATATCATTTCATCAATACAGTCATCAGGTGAGTGTTCGCTTCTGACGATGCCGTCCTGGCAGGACCCAGTCATGAGCCTATACCCCGCATCTTCAAGGATCAAAGAAATTTGAGAAATGCTTGTGGAGATGAGCAGCGCAGAGCCCCGGCTGCAGCGGCAATCATCTTCGCTGCGCAGTTCAAGGCACTTTTGGGCCCTGGCCATCAAGAAACTATGGAAACTTCTGCTTTGGCTTTTTACATGGATATACACACATGCGCGTGTGTTGGTATGAACATGTGTTTACATTCACGTAACTGTATATCATACGAGCAGGCACAAGACATTAGCAGGATGGCTGCAAGCGTGGGCTGTTGAGGACCCACGACAAACTTGCAGACCATTGCCAGTTCGAAGCCTTTGGACTGCCGGATTGTAGGATTGGTCAATCAGCTTTGTTTCGGAGCTTCTGAACGTGAGATGGAGAATCGAGGTGCCTCGAGGGCAGAGGCGTGCGCAGGCCCAGGCAATATTGGCCCATCCCTCGGAAACGACTGGCCGATGATATCAAGCAGGAGGAATCTAAGCCTGCACAACAACTACGGTCTCGTCACTCAGCACTGCCATCAACCCATTGCAATCAACAGCAAAGGAATGGCCCGGGGGCCTACCTGCGGTGCAAACTCGGCGTAACGCTGTGCTGCAGCTGCAAACAGTGCTTCGGAGAGGGGTGCGGGTGCCTCATCAGCTCGCAACAGCTGCATCTTCGTCCGGGTACAGAATGTGTGGAGCGATATTGAGCAAACTCTTGCTACAAGTAGTCTGCAACGGACTTCAATAGCAAGGGCCTCCTGCAGTTTTCCCAGGGACCAGCAGAGTTGAGCCTGGAACAGAACAAGACTTCCGTCTCCTACGTGGGGTCTAAGGAACCGTGGTACTTCGAATCTCAGAAGCCTTTGTTATGCAGCGACCCGTAGAGTACCGGCAGCTGTCGTAGTCCTTGTAGTACAACCAGGCCACTGGGAGCCGGGCCAAGTCCAAAGGCTCGAAGCCGGATTTCAAGGATCGCCTGACTGGGCTTGGAAATCGCCGCAAAGACCACTAGTCATAGTCACTACCCCAAACGCCGAAAGAAGTGTAGAAGCCCTGTTCGTATGCATATACATATACATATAATTACATATGCATGATTTAGAACCCCCTCATGGTAACCCGTTATAGTCCATGCTTCTCAGTGACCCTTAGTGTCTTACAGCCACTGGCGTACACCGGCAGGTGTGGCGACCTGCCTGCCAGCAAGCGCCTCGGAAGCCACATGCTGCAGCACCGCAGCACCTCATTCTCAAGAGCTCTTAGGGTTTAGGGGTGTAGGTATCCACGTGAATCCAGCATTTCAGCTTCCTGGTACTGTACTGGCTCGGTACTCGTGGCTGCTCTGTAAGATGGCGAGCAGATTGCCATACCGGAACAGTGTCAGCAGTGTCAGCGTCTTCGTGCATCCTCTCCCGCTGCGCTGGCCTTGTTCGCTCAAGGTGGCAGCTGCCCAGGCGAAGTTGGCCAAATCCTGTGACATGTGACAAGTGTCTGCGGGCCGGAACGCAGGCAACCGAGAGTCGCCTGGTGCCTTGCGACCTCTCCGCCTGCTGCATTTAGAAAATCGTATCCTAGAATTGGCCTCTGTTGAATCAGATGTGCCTCGGACAACAATGCGACTGGCCAATACCTCCAGTAGAAGGATCCAGTAACAGTGCATGCTCCAGCACAGCCACGTCGTGGAGTGAGGAAATGGAAACGGTACCGCCAGTCTACCGCCCTTACTCTGCCTCACGCCATTAATTCTGCGTTAGAATACTCTTATAATACTATGACTATACTATTACTATTGTAATACTGTTATAACACTATTAGAAACTGTTCTCCTACTACTGTAGTAGTACAAGTATTGCGATTAATACTATTACTATTATTACTCTTACCTCTTACCTCTTACCTCTTAATACTATTATTACATCATACTATTACTATTCTTACTTCTACTAGTATCGTAATAGATTACCATTATTATACTCTTACCTCTTAGTACTATTATTACATAATACTATTACTATTCTTGCTCCTAGTATTATTACTATTATTATTACTCTTACATCTTACTGAAGACCCCGACCCTCGCTGAGCCCTCGGCGCGGGGCCCGGCACCGCGCTCGGAGGCGGCGCGAGCAAGGCAGCGGCTCCGCAGCTCCTGTGGCCGAAAAGACCTACCTTTTAATGAAGTATGTGTTAGAAGCTGCCCCCACCCTGTAATAGTGACCATAAGGATTATATAGGGTTATATTAGGGCCCTTTTATATTCCTATTATACCACTATTACAGGGTGGGGGCAGCTTCTAAAGTATGAGAAGAAACCATAGTAAGGAACCCTAAAAAGGTAGGTCTTTCCGGCTACAGGTAGGGTATAGGGTTGAAGGTTTAGGGTTTAGGGCCCGATGGGGGAGTTTAGTCTACAAGTCTGGGCTAGGGTTTGCTCTTGGGTAAGAGATAAAGAGTAATAATAGTCATAATAATACCAACAATAATAATACTAGTACTAATAATACTAATAGTAATATTTAAAGCCTCTAGCCATATAGGCTCTTGGGGAAGAGATAAACAGTAATAATGAAACCAATAATAGTAATACTGATGCTCATAATACTAATAATAGTAGTAATGGTAATACCAATACTAGTAGTAATAAGAATAAATTGTGAGATATTGTAATACTAGCGAATCCTTTTTTGGGGGTTAATATAAAGAATCCTATAAGGTAATCCCAACAGGGAACTACTATAGAGCCTATGATACAGCCTATGGGCACAGGCTGCAGGATTCCGCAAGAATGCCAGGAACAGGCGAGTCGAAATTAAGATTTGTGGTGCAGGCTGCACAAGTGCATATTTTGTAGTTAGTATTGGAATCGTATTATAGATAGTAACTAGAAATAATTGTGAGTATAAGTTGTATAATAGTATGATAACCGTGTTTTTGAGATGTAACAGTATTGTTACAATAGCAGTCATTTCAGGGTCGGGCCGGCCTGGGCCCTCGAACCGCGGAGCCGCGCCAGGGCGACCAGCGCCGCGCCGAGAGCGCGAGGGCCACGCAGCGCCTGGAGGCTGCGGTTCGGGGCTCTGCACAAGAGCTGCAGGCCTCTACTGGTATCCCCTGCTTCTGATTCAAAGGCCCGCGCCTTCTGCATGTGCTTCATTAAGGCTGAGAGAAGCTCGTCCAGCTTGGAATCCTGCTGCAGATATCATGTCAGGCGCAGTTACATCACGAAAACCAAAGCCACCTGAGCAGCAGCTTAATGGCTTCAGCTTTGCAGGCCACGGCCGCTTGTTGCCAGAAGCAGCTCAGCTATGCAGCCCCCTTAATCAACCAAGACAGCAGTAATTTTTCCAGTCGTTGTGGGCTTGTGCTGTCCTGCACTGCTTGACGCTTTGAAAGACCACCGAGGCGCAGTAGACAGGCCAGCGCCTTGCATCTTCGTTTCGATTGCCCTTCTGGTTCGACGAGCCTCCTTCACGTCACCGCCAACGGCGCTGAAAATAAAATCGACAAAAGGGTCACAACCAACAGAAGGTTGCACCACCAAGGCTGCTGCAGCGTCATACACCACCACCACCCCATTGACCTCCATCACAAGTGGTACCACCGCATGCAGTGGTTAACCTTCACTGGCACCACCACGACGACGACGGCTGCGAACCTCGACGACCTTGATAAAGATGTACTTCGCAATAATGCTAGCGGTGTGATTCATTCACCATGGACTAACCACTCCCTCCTCGCCATTGAAACATCGCTAACCTACTAGACCTTGTATGGGAGCCTGCAGCCACATTCACTCGTTTTCTTGCGCCTGGTCGGCAGCATGTCCCTTGGGAAGGCTGCGGAAGTAGCTGAGCACCTCCTGGAGCAGAACAAGCAATAGCAGTGTCAATGGTCATCAACTCACGATCCACTTCTACTTCGAGGCGGACAACTAGACGGCTGCAGACGTCGCTTGTGCCTCGGCACTGTTCAGCCGCCGCACCTGCACAACATTTTGTTGAACACGCATCCTTGTCCAGGCCTGTGGCCAGTTTGTGGTCATCGTGAATTGCATACGATGGGCACATGCTCGCCCTGCCTCTGGACTGATCAGAGGAGCAGCATGCAAAGCGTGCCTGTCAAGGCTGGTCAGCAAGACACTTTCATGTCTCAAGCTGTCTCAAGCACAGAGCCAGCGCGGGCCCTTTTTGTTTCGCAGAAGCAACCTCCGACTCTATCGAAGTATTACCCGTGCAGCAGAAATGCGGAAGAGCTGCGCCATTTGTGCGCGGAGGGCCAAGCACAGGCAGAGAGACAGAAACTGAGACTAGCTGCTTTTGCCCTGCCATCTGTCTAGCCAAGTTGCAAAAGGAAGCTGTTCCTCCATGGCCGAACTGGAGCCGTCAGCCCGTGAGATGGCCTGTGACTCTGGGAAGTTGCGCTCGACAACTCACAAGTGAGTTCCTTCAGAGGACAAGCTCAAGAAAAGAGGTCGCAGTCTAGCCTCAAGGCAGTTGGCTTCAACGGCCAGCCGCTCGGTGAAGAATACATCCAAGCATCACTACGTGGACTTCGTACATGACACGAGGTGGACCAAATGAATCCTATCAGCTGGTGGGCCCGTGATTATGTCAGAGTCTGTGGATGCATGGAACAGCCGCATTCGGAATCGCATGGAATCACAACTGCGCTAAAGTCGTAAGCCAGAAACTACAGTGGCATCAGCGTCCAAACACGACGGAATAGTGCAGGTATGCGAATCACGAAACCCTCCAGACAATCTCGGTCGTGTACACGGAACGTTTTCGCCGGTGCAGCTGAGCTCTAGCTGCATGTTTGGGTGAAACGCCTCTCTTGTCAGGCATGTCACGCACTTGGTCCTTCTGAGAGTTAAGGATAAGACAGGCTAGTGTAGTTCAGGACCACTTGGACTCTTTAAGCCATGCGGAGACAATCCACACATTCAGAGCTCTAAGCGCTCAGAGCTGTCCCGGATCGTAGGATCTTCGGCGTCAAACACAGAGACCTACACTAAAGCCTCAGGAAATCAGGATGAGCCATGCGATGGCCACCTTGGCGAGTTTTGTGAAGCGGCAGAAAGCATGGAAGCGAAACGTGGCTGTTGCAAAGTCGATCCCATGATGCTCAGGTGGCTCACGTAGAACAACCAGACGGGATAGACTCCCAAGGCCTGCGTGGCCACCGATAACACAGCCCCCTTCATCACTCGGCATCCATGCCGCTACGTAATGTAAAACTCTTGATCAGGTCTTGCCATGCAGAAGGGGCACGCCGCGCCTTCCGATCCTCAGGCAGGAGCTCCGACATGAACGCCACCTTCGAAAATCTTCGGGCCGCCCCAGCTTTCATGGACTGCAGGCCTCCAAAGCCCAAAGCCTCAGGCCCGCACCGAGGCACCGGTGGCCCATGTAAAGCCTACACAAACGAAGATGACCTGACAAGAGGATTTACGTCGCAACGACAGCGGAGCAACACCGGCACTCTGCCTTCAGCCATATGACTTGGAGAAGCAAAGAGCAGAAGGCAGCTATGACCAGCGGGAAGATGCAGTAGCCTCAGGCTTTTTGTACTTGTAGCCCACAAACATCCAGTTGTGGTGAACACCGCTAGAGGCTGTTTGGGGCACTGACCCAAGACACAGACCTGGGTGCTCCACCGAATGAGCTCGCACGCTACACATCGCGGGCTCGTCATCAAGCTGCGAACCGACTGGAAGAAGGAGATCTTGCCTTTGAGGAGAACTGCATTCAGGGTCACGATGCCTGCACCAAGGCGGGTACCGCACTAGCAACCGTGCCAGAACCAGAACCGCATGATGTTCTTTGAACGTGAACACTGCGAGCGAGGCAGGAATGCACAAGGAGGGTCCACCTGAGCCTACCCACACGATCACGAAGACCAGGGCAAATGCCAAGCTGGCCTGGCGCAACAGTGTCGGGTTCCCATCTGTAGAATCTAGAAGCTTCATGCTAATCTGACATCTTTTCATGACACGTTTCTGCTTACCTCCCTGGATCCCTGAACTGCTGCACCCGGAAGCTTCGAATTCTCGTCCATGTCTCTCCACCGAGTCTCCAATTGGTGCTTTTGGACGCAATTTTGGCAGAGGGGGAAGTGTTGTCACCCCTTGGTTCGTCGTCCCCCTTCGGCAGTGACAGCGGCTGACTGCCAGCAGCCCAACAAGCTCGTGCGAAAGCGAGTGCTGCGGTCAGAGGTGAGACCCTCGAAGCAACGCTGCTCAGTGCCGATAATTCCAACTCCACATTCGCCACCTCGCCATTGCCCTTGCCGCTGCTGTGGCCTTTGCGGGAGCCCTTGTTGTTGCCCTTCGGCTTCTTTTCGTATTGGCCGTTTCCTCTCCGCTAGGCCCTTGTTGAGCTGAGGAGAAGTGTGGGCACCTCTTCCTCGGGCTTCTCAGAAGCATCCGCCCAAGTGGTGCGAGCTGGGGGAGGGGGACTCAGAACCGGCGTTGCCACATCTGCAGATGCCACGAGCCTGGCAGGTACTGCAGAAAGTTGTAGGGGGGCTTGTGGGCAATGGATTGAGAGCCGGTGCCGGAATGGAAGACGGGAGGGGTGGGTGCGCTGAAGGTGCGTTGGGACAGGTCTGAACAGTTCTTTTTGGATCTGCCGCAGCTGGCAGGGCGGTTGCAGTTCTGGGGTGCCCCTCAGTAATTCGAGCCATAATACGTGGGCTGGTTGCCCATAAAGGCCGGCGAAAACTGCGCCACTGGCATAGCAGCCATAACGAAACTTGCGGCTCGGGCTTAGCTGTGCCGCTGAGCCGCATGTAAGGAGCACAGACAACACTGGTCACCTTCCTTTGCGCTTTACCTTGTTCGGAATGATTTCCGCACACGTCTATCGATGCATATAGCTCCAACACCCAAAATGCGACTGTATGCTCTCACATGCTGTTGTCAAGAACTACATACGCCAAATACAAGTGGTTCCATTATTCACATAGCTTGCATCAAAATTAGTTGCAGTGGCACGTGTCTACATTTGATTCTGAGGTTTAGGAGCTGCGGGATAGGGTGTAGAGTTTAGGTCTACGCTTTAGGGCCCAAGCCCACTGACTGACAGTGGGCGTGTACTTCCCTTCCGGATGCACCACCCGCCAAACTCAATCTGTTGTTCGCACTGACAGTAAGCTCTGTGGGTTTCCGACCTGGTCTGCTCGCATAGAAAGCATGATGCCTCGGAATACACAGCAAGGACTTCTTGATATTTCTGTGCATTCTGCGAGACATATTATCTGGGTCGGGAAGCTGTACCGCCACAAGCCAAACGCCTCCAAGGCACCCAAAGCTAAACAAAGAACCAAGGGACCCCACAGGTCCCACCTCGGCAGAGCAAACGGATGGAACGCATGGCAGCCAAGGAGCGACTGCACAGGTGCCAGCTGCCAACCGAGGCAGCCACTCCCGCAAGCCGCTGCCTTTGTCGGCGCGTGCTCTCGGCAGCATAACGTACCTTTCGGGAGTAAAACTTCCGAATGATTCTGGCTCATGCGGTGGTGGGCGTGGACTGTCTCTGCACGATTGCAAGGTGGATTAGGTTGCATGTTCGATTCTGTATATAAAAACACACACACACATACACAGTGGCACATTCACCTGCACACACACACACGCACACAGACACGCGACACGCACACCCACCCACACCGGAGGGTGCAGTCCAAGCAAGCAAGCTGCTGGCGCACTTCAGTTTGGTTCCGATCGACCTCCGAAAAACTGGGTGAATGGAAAGAGCGAACCATGTTTTTGTCATCGCCGACAAAAGCTACAAGGGTTCCAGTCAGGATAGCCAGGCCGCTGCATCGGACCCAACCGATTCTACCGGCCAAGATTTTACAACAACTCTGCACACCTCCTTAGTAGCTTCAGAATCCATGGCATCTACGGACATCACTTTCTGAACCGACATCATAACTTGTCTGATGCGTTGCGCGAGATCGGCCTGAGGTCTCTCATGATGGTCTCCATGACTGGCTCGTCCAAGGTATTTCGGAGTCCCTTCCAGAAACACGGCATTGCACAGACGACATGCTGCTCACGAGGTGCCGAATTGAATCCACCTGGTGTGTGCGTGTGTGCTGAGATAGACAAGCTTTTGCAAGTGCTTGCCCCGTGGTTTTAAGCAAATGAGACGCAAATGTGCAAGCACTTTTCAGCACCTAATGCACAGACAGTCGAGTTATATAGGCGAAGAATAGCTCGCAGCGACAGGCAAAGGAGCAAGCGACTAAGCGGCCACAACACGGGCTCATCCGCACCTAGGGCAAATCGCAAACAGAACCTTGGGAGCAAATTCGCGCCAACCACCATGTCCTGTACTGCACTCATGATCGGGGTGGTCGCAAGCCACCCAAGCCTGCAGGCTTGCAGACTGTTCGATCTCGCCGCTGGGTGCCACGCCGCCATCGCCTTGCATGTTGAGTGCATCAGTCTGTCAACGAACGGACATTGATCTGAACTTCCCCATGCACAGCACCTTGCCTCCAGAGAACTGAGGCGACTGGTAGGTGCCGCTTAAGTCAAAACTCGCCATCCCTGGCGAATGCAACAATCGCACGGATCTT